TGTCTTGCGGGTTGGTGCCAGTGTTCTGTAATCTCACTCACAAAGACCCGGAGACAGTTGTAACTCTATATTTAAGCAGAGACCTTTTTACTGAAAACTTTCTGTGAGTGCTGACTGTGACATGCCAGACCTTAAATCTGTCTCCCTGCCGGATAAATACAGATGGAGTGAGTGGAGAAACCTGATGCGTACAGGTGCTAAATGCTATTTCCCAATTAATCAATTAATTGTTTGATCTATAAAACATCAGAAAATATTGATAAAAGCTCCTCACAGTTACCCAGAGCTGAAGGTGATGTCTTCACATTGTATTTTTTTTGTCTGATCAATGATCCAAAACAATTTTACGCTGATGTAAGATGAGGAAAAGCAGCGGAGCCTCACATTGAGAGGCTTAAGCATTGAGAGCATTGTTTCCCTTTTTGGCTTGAAAAATGGCTGAAAGCTGTTATAATCAATAGCTAATCAATAAACAGCTGTTTAAATGACTACATGTGTAAGAAAGGAGTCTTAAATCACAGTGAATTATTACCTGACTTTGTAGTTTCCCTGAGCTCAATGGAGCATTTTAGTGTCTTTCAGCTCATTGATTTGGTTATTGGTTCAGTGTTACCGCTCCTTTAAGCACAGTTTGGGTTGTTTTAAGAGTAGAAGCTGTAAAAAGCTGCTGTTACAGATACAGTCAGAGAGCAACTGGTTATAATGGTGGAGCGTTTAGCAGCTAAAGAGCCAGATATTTCCCTCAGGAGCTGGTGGAGACCAAACACAGAGCTAAAAGAGAGGAAACACTGGACTTAGATTGATCAGGTTGCCACAAACACAACTTCAAATACATATTGCTGTATATCTGCTGTAGTTTCAGGCTACGTCCACACTACTACGTGTTTTAAAAGTTTTAAAATGCATCTCTGTCACTACGTTTACGCCAGGCGTCCACATTACTGTGGTACAGTACACAACACCGCCACAGTTAGAATCTGCATCTTAACACTACAACTATCTTTGCAGTTCCTCATTCAGAGTTACGGAGCTAAAACACTGGTCTGGTCAGAGTCTTAACAAAGTGGCAGTGTTGTGTTTCCAGCTTGTTTCTGCTGCACCAAAGTTGCTCCAAAAAATCTGTTACTGCAGGTTTAAATACAGCGAGGTGCTGTTGAAATTGCTTATTATAGTTTATGCCAATCATAGAGTCACCGGGCTTACATGAGATTTTTTAGATTAATCCTCGGTAGTCATTTCGCAAATGGTGTCCTGAAGAAAAAAAAAGAAGATGGATGGAGCTGGGTTTCCAGCTTTGTCTGTCCATTCGCTCCTTCCATCATTTACCGCTGCATAAAAACTAAAGACTCTAAACTGTTGCTCACAGTGATAGAAGAACAAGAACAGACACACAAACACACACCTTTTACACCTTTGACACCCAGTTTATTCTTGGGCTGACACCAGTCAGGCTTAAAAAAACCAAAGCAGGAGGGTGAAAGAAAGAAAATAAGGCAGAGAGAAAAGAAAGGGGTAAGATGGCTGGCAGAGCACTGAGATAGATCCTGTGTGGAAAAACCAAAGATGATTTTTCCTTTGATGTGGCAGATGCACACATCCATAACAGGCCCTGTGAGAGAGCAGGAGACAGAGAGGGTGAATATACCTGCCATCTTTATCCCTTTTTTATGGTGTTGCAGGGGTATGAGAGATATGAAATATAATGAGAGGGGACGCCATCTGACAGCGACTGGGTGAACATCGAGCGAGAGGCGGAGAGCTGAGGTGTAGGTTTTGCCCCCACAGCCTCATCTAACAGTGCGACCAGGTTCAATAAAAGGAACATTTTTAAAGAGGAAACTGGTTTGTAAGATTTAATCCGTCACAGAGCTGCTGCAACGCCAGATGGGAAAGGGCTGCAGGTTATTACAACCCATGGTTACGTTTTGTTGCTAGGTGACATCTAGTGGTCGTAGTAATTACGACAGGAGCGAAGGGGAAAAGTGCGGTGACGTAGTATAAAGAGAGACAAAGTCCACGTCAGGAGGAGGTTGTGGTGGATGGATGAATACGACACAGGAGAGCGGTGCTCGATTCCCATGTGAAAGCAGCAGTTTATGTTGTTTCTATTATCCATGACCAACTTAACCAAGCCATGACCGTTATTATAGTAACCATGGCGACAAAGTTGGGTATGCCACTCTCGGGAGAGTCCGCGCGTTTATTCTTGTAACCAAGACAACCAAGTTCCGGTGCGCCCACTGCTGTACAAATACTCATGACAATGTTTAACCACACGTTTAGCAAACCATTCAGGCTCTGAGTCTCTCTTCTGATTGGCTCTTCTGACTGTTTTCAGAGTGAGCAAATAAAAATGAAGCACATTTCAGGTAAACACTCAAACACAAACCAAATTCTGCAAGGTTTGGATGGTGGGTCCAGGTGGGCGGAGCTTCGGGCTGAGGGTGGTGACTGTGTCGTTGTGACATCACAAAGTTAGAGAAGTTCTGACGGCTGGTTTTAAGGCTCAGTTTCTGAATACAGGCTGTGTGCGTTTCTCTGTGGACTGAGGCTTTGATACTTTCACAGTATTAATATAGAACTTAGACCTGATCTATAATCAAACTACACATGGACATCTGCCTTTAGTCAGATTCAAAACTCTCAGACTCTGTTTCCTGTTTAAAGTCTGTACATGTGTTGCTAAGTATTCCTCCACTGTAACTCTCTCTAAAACTCTGCATTGCAGCCATTAAGACCGCCTGACTGTTGATATCTGTGGATAGGTAATTTAGCTGAGCAGGTGGGTAGAGAGATAAGTCTTTTCACACTAATAAATCCCTTTGCAATGAAGCAAAGTGAAGTGGATTCAATTTGGGAGGGGAGTAAAAAGCACAGAGGAAGAGCCAGGTAATTGACCACCAATCAGAAACTGATCTGATAGTGTCTGTAAAAGCAGCGATTTGGCCAGTAAAATACCCTGCTCCCGAAAGCATATAAATAAATGAGCATGATGTGATGTTGAAGCGGTTTGATTTGTGGGACGGGAGGCGAAGACGACGCCGCTGCTGTTTTTATGACGCTCAAGCTAAAACTGAGGCAAATAAATGATCACGTCTGGTTGATGTGAATCGCCGGAGAATAACCTGATGGTTGCGTCAGAACGATGTTTGTGCAGAAAGACATTATTATAGCAATAGCGTCGTTTCACAGCCACAGGCCACAGCTATAATCAAACACACCCATCCAGACTAATGCAGGGAGAGAGTCACTGTGTCAGACAACTAATTGCTACACTCAGTCTCTCTCTTTCACACACATACACACACTTTCTTCTTTTGTCTTTGCTAATCTAATCTGGCTCAGCAACTCTCACTTTGAGGCAGTTACCTCCACCTCCCCCTCTCCTCCTCCTCCTCTTCCTCCTCTTCCTCCTCTCTGGTTTTCCTCCAGTAAAGGATGTTCGGGGTTTAATGAGAAGCCGCTCATTATTGCTTCCCGTTTGTCTTTGCTCTCAGCGTTCATTCTTTTCTTCTTGACTTTCTGCTGCTGTTGCTGCCGAGGCCCCACAGTGCAATGTCAGAGAGTTGTTAAAATTCAGCTTTGTTTAGAGGACAAACGTTACATCAACTGTCTTTGTCTCTGGATTCAAGTTCACTGGGTTTATTGTCACGAAACAAACCAGTCACAAACCAGCTGAGGGTTGTCAATAGTGATAGATTTCGTCCAAAAAAACAAGTAAAACAAATTAAAGCAACAATGTGCAATGACTTAAACAAGTAATTTATTATCAAAATTGCAATCGCAGGTCGATTAAACGTTTGGTTAGAAAGTCTCATCTCATGGTGAAATTATTCTACGTAGCCGGAGGAGTCGATCGATACAGAGTGATCAGAAAATTAGAAAATCAAATCTGTGTTTTCACCCGAAAACATTTACTCATCATTGACCGTTTTCATTGGTCGCCAGATTCTTGGAGGCGTGGCCACTTTGACAATGATTCGTTGCGGTTTGAAAACTACACAACAACAAAAACATTTAAGTAATGAAGCAAATAATAAATGGATTATTGTTTATTTCCACAATAATGATAGTTTAGCAAGAACTAGACCCTACTTTAAGTTTCCTTTATAGAAACCTGATAATGTCTAATACATCATTGTTTTATAATTATAAAAGTTTCAATGTGGGCCTCAGAGGGTTAACTTACTGAAATATATATATATTTTTAATATCTTTATATATATAATATATATATATATCACTCAATGTGATAAACAAACGCAGTTTTTGTTTTTTGTTTTTTAGCCCAGAGCAGCGTCTGCAGGTTTTAATTTCAGGCTGAAAACTGCAAAAACACCCGAGGCTGTTTACAGAGCGGCCCGGTCCAACGTTTTTCAGGGTTGAAGAAGTCATAACCTCAGAGGCTGTTTACAGGTTTCCATCAGCCTCTCCCATCTGAAATACGGAGACAGGGCAGAAGAAAAAAAAAACAATTTAAGAGAATCAACTTGAAACAATAAGTTCAAGGAAGTGTCACAATAAAAGACCTACACAGTGAAAACAGGCAAAGACGTAATCCACACAATACACATCGCTTACTGTGCAGCACTTGCTTTGGAGCTATGCTGTGTGTGTGAAGAGTTACAAATGCAAAACTAATGTTGACAAAAGAGTGTGTGTGTGTGTGTGTGTGTGTGTGTGTATTGTGCACTATCGAGTGTGATGGCTGATGGGATTGAGGAATTTCTGGCTCTGTTGCTTTCGAAGCTCGGGGCCCAAACACATGACGAAGGGGCCCGGGGCTCGCTCTGCTGGAGACTAGATAACTTTTGGTTTTTGGAGGGGTTGATTGGACAAAAGAAGCATTTTTGAAGAAGTTGTTACAGGAGTTTTCACAGTTTTCTGATATTTAATCAATTGAAAAAATAATTGAGATTTAACTGATATATTGAGAAATGACAGAAGTTGTTAAAAAAAAGACTGAAATTTGGTTTCTTTCCTCTGTTTTTTCCCACCAGACATGATGGAGCGGTGGTGGGCGTGGCAGTTGGCCCTGGTCACCCTGGCAACCATTTACGTCAGCCCCTCCCACGGCCAAAACGCCGAGTTCCTCTCTGACACACTGATCAACAACGTGGTGGCCAACCCTCGTACGGGCCGGCTGTACGTCGGCGCCGTCAACGCCCTCTACCAGCTGAACCCCAACCTGGAGGTCGAGTCCCGCACCGAGACGGGGCCCAAGCGGGACAACAGGCAGTGCACGCCGCCCGTCACCGACGCCTGCGAGGAGGCCACGGACACCAACAACCACAACAAGCTGCTGCTGGTCCACGAGGCCAAGGACGTGCTGGTGGTGTGCGGCAGCGTCTTCAGGGGCATCTGCTCTCTGAGGAACCTGAGCAACGTGGAGGAGCTGCTCTACTTCAGCGACACCAAGGGGGAGAAATCGTACGTGGCGAGCGCCGAGGAAAGCGTCTCCGTAGTGGGGGTGATGTCTTACTTCACCAAGGATAGAGACAACTTCACCGTGTTCCTGGTGAGGAGGGAAAACACACACACACACACACACACACAAACACACTCAATTCAGATTGCTTCATTTTGTTTCCTGAGGTAAATAAAATGAATATGAATGATCACCTCCATCTGTGATATTGTGTGAACAAACACAATAAAACTGCAATTTGTAGAGAATGGAGAAATTAAATTGGGAGCCATATGGGGGATGAGAACACTTGACATTCGTCCCGAAATTTCTTCACGCAGAGTCAGTGAATCACAAGATGTTCTTTCGAAGCTGCATACAGCTGCTTCTATGATGCCATGTTGATGCGTAAACCTTCCTGCAGTGGGACCAGCCAGGACCCTAGAGGGACTTTTGTAGTTTTTTGCTGACTTACTCAGTCAGTTTGATGTCAATAAGTCTTGAGGGAGTTGAGTTTTGGAAGTCAAGTCCAAAGTTGCGAGTCGGAGATTGGCGAGTCGGTTCCACCAGATTCAAATATCTCAAAAACTATTTGGTGGGTTGCCATGAAATTCGTTGCATATATTAACCGGTTCCCCTGCAGCATATCCGAATCACTTCGGTGATCCTTTTGGAGAGAAAGACCAATGTTAACTCTTGTCTGCATGATGTCTTTTCTTTTACTGAAGTTAGCATGCTAACTAGCTAGCCCCGGCCTGTCTCATCACTTTCATTAATCTTTTCATCTAACTTACGGTCTAAATGTCCCTTCACCTATGTAGGTTGGTAAGGGGTACGGCAGCCATGACAGCACCAAGCTGATCTCCACCCGCATCCTCGAGGACTACAGTGACTGGGTGGTCTTCGACAGCATCATCGAGGCCTCGGCGGTCCAGGCCAACCCCTTTTTCCTGCGGTACCTCCACGACTTCCGCTTCGCCTTCAAAGACAACGGCTTCGTGTACTTCCTGTTCTCGCGCACGCTCGGCGTGCAGGACACCAAGAATTTCACCTTCATCTCCCGGATGTGCGAGGACGACCAGGGTTATTACTCGTACACCGAGCTGCAGCTCAACTGCAGCGCCACCAACACGTACAACAAAGCTCAGGTAATGATGTTGCACTCCTTTGGGCTGTCAGCGTTTTTATTAAAAGGGCAGCAGTGAGTCGGAAAAACACATTTGGACATTTTACGTTTGGATGAGTTTGTCTTAAATTGGCACCTTTTTGAGAACACCTGGGTCCTGACCCCTGAAAAATTTGATAAATTGGATTTAACATGGTCTTGAACTTGAAATAGCTTCCATTTATAAGGTCTCCACTATGACCGTGCCTTTGTTACATCAGATAAATACACATTTTCAGAGTGAATACCTAATATTCAGTGTTTTTATCTCCTCCTCGTCTCCCAGGCTGCCTATGTAGCAGCACCAGGTGAAGCTTTGGCTCAGAATATGACCAAATCAGGCCTGTATGGACCCGTCTCAGCCTCTGACAAGGTGCTGTTTGTCACCTTCACTTCTGATGAAGACCCGTCTACTTCGGCCATGTGTAGGTGTCACCTCAATGCTTCAAAACACGTGTTCCTGACTTTGCAGAAGGTCCAAACATTTAAATGAAGTTTTGCCATTAAACAAGGAAAGATGAGGGTTTGGACGTTGTTATTTTTTCCCCAGATGATTTTGTTCAGCACAAATCTGTGTTGAAATCTTAAGTTTGAAGTTTGTTTTCGACCTTGGAAATAGCAGCTGAGAAACCAACTTAACTTTATTAAATGGCTCTTCTGGAGCTTTTGATCATCTCTAATGATCTTAATCAACAGACGGAGCATCTTTTCAAAGTGCATTCTTGATCTTAAACCTCTGCTTTTAAGCCAACGTGGATGAAACATGAACAGAACAGAACATCTTCATTTATGGATGAACTCCATCGGGCTGTGAAGATCATGTTATGTGACCGAAAGCTCCAGAACAGTTGATAGAAGTTACTGGAACCTCTGAAATTGAAATTATTCTACTCAACCAAAGGAATTTATCAATTCAGAGCGATCAGAAAGTTAGAAAATCAAATCTGTTTTCACCGAAAACATTAAGTCATCAGTGACTGATTTCATTGGTCACCAGATTCTTAAGAGGCGTGGCCAATTTGACGATTATAGTGGAAAGTTTTGTGCAAGTGTAACCTAATCAGGATTAGAGCTGAACCAATTGGTCCAGTGGTTCTCAAAGTGGGGTCCAGGGACCCCCAGGGGTCCTTGAGGTCCTGCTTTGTTTACCTGAATATTTTTGGGTTTGAAGACTCTAGGAAACTGTGATGGTCATTTTTTGACAGCTAATCGATTAACTGAGAAAATAATCAGCGAGATTAATCGATAATGGAAACAACTGTCAGTTGCAGCCCTAATCAGGATGTACACATGTATTTCTGAGTTCCCTGCAGTATATGTAGTGCTGCGGCAGTGTGGTCAATTTAAATAGCTGAGGCATAAATCTTTAAATCCCTTTATATTTTTGCATTATTCATCCTCATGCAAATCCCCAGAATTCCCAAGTTTTAGGCGGTCACCACAAATCAGCATAATTGTGTAGCACATTTTCTTTTATCAGAATAACAGTAGAAATAATGAGGAGTTTTCAGACTCGGCTGTGTCTAAGTGCTGTGTTCGGGCTTTGTGGTTTTTGAGGTTTCATTGTTTGGCTTGTCAGTAAACATGGACTCAGATGTGTCGTTTTTCATGTGTGTTAAACAGAGCAGAGGAAACAGTAGGAAACAGGTACCGACAGTGTTTTTGCTCCTGTTTGCAGGTATGTACCCTCTGCGCTCTATTAATAAGAGGCTGGTGGAGATAATAGGAGCCTGTTACAGCAACAACGGCATCATTAACGAGAAGTCTGCTGTCTACTCGCCTTACTCCTCCAAGTCTGAAGAGCTGTGCAGCAGCAGCAGTAATCAGGTGAGTGTCAGAGATGAAGAGAGACTGAAAATACAAAGAGATGAATATTGTACGAGTCAATAGTTTTATTTATTATTTCATATTAATATTAATGTTTCACTATTTTAATCTCCATTCTGCTCCTTCAGAATAACATGGCCATCAAATACAAATGCGGAGCCGAGTTCCTGCCCTCCCCGATGGCCAGCAAGGCCGAGTTCGCCTTAACATCGGATCCCTCGTTGGTGCGGAAGGGTCACATGACGGCTGTGGCCGTGGCTGTGGAGATGGGGCACGCTGTGGCGTTCCTGGGCACCGCCACTGGAGAGGTAACGGCCGCCCAGCTGATGCTTCTATCAAACGTACAGTTCAACAAATGTGGACAATAAAGTTTCCAATATTAGATCAATTATAAACAGATATTTAGATGAAGGAAATTCCCGAACGATTTAAACTCAACACAGGTAAATAAACTCATAAGTGTCTCAAAACTTTCTCCATGTAATAAACACCAAATTACATAATTTTTCTAGCAAATTTTAGGAATTTTTCTCGGAAAATTATAAAATGTAGATAGAGATAAAGCCTATTGTTTTATAATTTAAAGCTGCATCATAGAAGATTTGTCTATAATCATACATTCATCAGTCATGTAACTTCTCTGTGAAGAATATCACATTACCACTGACGTATCATAGATTTAGAACATAGTTTCCTCATTAAATCTGTGTCCAGCAGGAACAGTAATGTGACATTTGACACGTAGTGTGTGCAGGTCGTAGTCTCAATTTAAATGCGTGTTCATGCAGTTCTTGCGTCTCCTGCAGGTGCTGAAGGTGCATCTGTCGGCCCATCCCGAGGTGTACGGGCGAGCGCCGGGCGACGTCACAGGAGACAAGGTCAACAAGAACCTGTTGTTCGATTCCAGCCTCCGACACCTGTACATCACCACAGAGAAAAAGGTCAGACTGAACGACGACTGATTGATTATTCTTTTTTTTATTAAGTCCATTTCTCTCTAACACCTCGGTGTCGCCACATGAAGAAGGTCACGGACTCAGACTTCTACTTTTTCATTTCATCCATCAGGTCATGGATTTAATGAGTGTTTAATTTATTGGGTCTGTCTCATTTGATCATTTATTCATTCGTTCAACTAACACCGATACATCCGTCTACATTACCACACAGAAGTCACTCATTGATTTATTCACTCCGTTCTCCTTCTCTCCGTCCCTCTTTGTTTCCCTCTTTGCTTCTCCTCCTCATCCGTCACTCTTTCCTTTTTGTCCTTTCATCTTTCAGGCGGCCATCGTTCTCTGCCGCCACACTGGAGCTAGAAAATGATGTTATTGATTTAGAAATGAATTAATTAGAATGCACTTCAAGAGGGCAATTCACTTTAATCAAGTCAAGTGACGATACTCGAGCCTGTTCCATCTGCTGATTTAAATTTATTAGCCCAGCCTCCTCTTGTCAAGAGGGGAAAATTATTTACACAGCTGGTTGGGAGAAGTTCTCCACTAAAATACTGTCCACCCAAGACCTTCGCTTTACAGGGAAATTATGCATGGGGTGAAGGAAAATGGGTTGAACACTGAAAACTGTTAGCAGCTAATTCGGCTACTTGTAATGGCGCCAATTTGCCGAAATGTAAGCAAATAGAGGCTAAAACAGGCCCTGCGTGTCGTTCACTGTAACATCTCCTTCATAATAAAAGCCTGTCCAATGTGTGCAGATCACCAAGGTTCCGGTCCAGGCCTGCCACCTGAAGACGGACTGCCAGTCCTGCGTCTCCATGAAGGATCCGTACTGTGGCTGGTGTGTGCTGGAGGGAAGGTGAGCCGCTCGCACCGTTTGTCTGAGGTTTCAACGATAATTAAGAGCGTTTCCATCCATTTGGGGGACGATGTTAATCCTTAAAAATGATTCCCATCAACCTCAACTTGGGTGAATTTTGACCAATAGCAAGCCGTCTTGTTAGAACTGACCTTTGAGGGAACAGACTCCAAAACTGAGGAAGTTTTCAGAGCTTATTAGCTGTGTTGCACCATCCAATATTATTGACTCCTGTGGTTAACAGAGAATTATGAGACAGCAATCAATTGTACAAATGCATCTTTTGCATGAACTGTGTGAACGTGGGGCGACTGTGGCTCAGGAGCTGCAGCGGTTCGTCCAGTCCCCATGTCGAAGTGTCCTTGGACAAGATGCCAAACACTAAATTGCCCCTCATGTATCAACAGCTTGTGAATGTGTGTGTGTGTGTGTGTGTGAATGAGTGAATGTGACTTGTAATGTACAGCACTTTGAGTGCTAATTAGCTAGCTAGGTTGAAGCGCTTGATTTCTGCTCTTTACTGAACCACCAAGGCCAAACAATCCCACACGTCTGTCAGATCCAGATTATCGTTTGGATCTGGTCCAATTTCTACTCAGTCATAGATCATAGATTTTTTTTTTAACATCAAAATCCAAACATTATTTGCTGAGAAATGTGAAATGTCGCAATGTTGAGGAAAGTGATAATCCGCCCCTTTAACCGGATCAGCACCCATCTTCAATGTGTTCATCACAGGCCCGTGCCTCTTCCATCCACCAAGTTTGGTGAAAATCGGTTCTCTACTTTTTGAACAAGTAGCCCTGCAAGTTAGCGTCAATCACCAAGTCTCATATGAACTGTGCCACTGTCCGGTGTGACCGGGTCTTAAGGATTTAAAAGTTTGTGGCCATGAAAGATTTTACATTTTTTACTAAACAAACATCAAAAAAGGTGAAAGACAGAAAGAAGGAAATCTGATCTGAGTGATCTGTTTACTCCCAGTCGTCTCCATGGTCCCCAATGTTTATATTAATTACACAAAGATAACGCTATCGCCATCACTTCTCCAGCGATTTGATGAAACTCATGTGTCGCTGAATCATTAGTGAAGTTTGATGTTATCACCCTCTGCTCCACAGGTGCACCAGGAAGCAGGAGTGCAGCAGGTCGAGGGAGGAGAACACCTGGCTGTGGTCGCCCAATCAGCAGTGTGTTCAGATCCGGGCCTTCGACCCGCCGAACCTCAGCTGCAGGAAGACTCAGCAGGTAGGAGAGATGTGGATGGCGGAGGCTGTGAGTGAACATGGTTAATTCTCTCTGAGGAGTGGATTCCCCCCTGAGCTAAAGATCGGTTCTTGCTGAGCTCTGCTTAATTTAAACCAGTCAGACCTCCTGGAACCCGCTCAGAGTCGGAGGGGGCTCTGTGTCTGTGTTGTCAGCAGCATTTCAAACAGCTTCTTAACCTCTGGTATGTGGACCCCCCGGGGGCCCAGGGGAGGGGAGAAAGGAATAAAGACATTTTTGATTCACAGTGACTTTATAACGTACAACTTTTGGATGTGAGCCAGATATACATTGCGTAGAATCTACACAGTTTGTGCTGACAGTCCCTTTGAAGGGGAAACGGTGCTTCCCTGGAAACGTTCTGTCACATCTAGAAGCTGCTGGATTTGAATCCGATAAGAGCAGCCAACAGTGCGAACTTCAGTAAGGTTTCAGAACAGCTCTGTTTGTCACTGCCCTCTTCACACCGCTTTGAGTTCCCCGGTCACTTAGTCAAACATCCGTCAAAAACCAACATCCTCTTCTAAACATAAGAAGAAAGCCACAACACAGAGTTGAGAAAGTCTCTGTTCCAAGGCTGAATCTTTACCCCCCGTTTACATCTGGTATTAATATATGATCAGTATCCAGATAATAAACGATCTAATCTTCCCTTTGCATTTACACTTGATATCTTTTGTTCTTGTTATTGTTTCCATTGCAGTTTTTTCCGCAAAATACAAGCAAGAAGTCGACAAAACACATTTGAGAATGATCTGTGTTTCCACTGAGTGATGTTATGAGAATAAAGCTGGGTTTTCTCCTCTTGTGATGTTGTTCCAATTAAAGATGGTGACGGATTTCCAGCATCTGCTAAGTGTTAGGACGATTGTATCCACCACAACGGCCATTGTAGTATTTAATCGAAGACGACGAAGACATCTGGCGCACATAATGACGAGCCCCTTACATCTGACAGCGGCCATGTGTCAGGGATTTTTGGGGGAGATAATAGTCCGCAGTGTTTTTGGATGTTATGTTTCCGTTTCACTTTTGCGAGATTCGGAAAGCAGGTTGATGGAAACACGGCTAGTGAGAATCAGATCTCTGTCCTCCGGAGTAAAACCTGAGCGTGAGTAATTTGAGGTGGCGGCAAATCACCTGTAGGTTTCAAAGATTACGTTTCCGCCTTCCTCAGACTCAAATACGATGCTAGCCAGACGAGCTCCAGCCAGACTTTTTTCCTCATCTGGATAAAGCGTCAGGACACAGATCACATTTTAACACCAGGTGTAAACAGGGTGTTACAAACTTCAGTGGGATTTTTAATGAGTTTTTTCTTACGTCTGGAACAGAACCCAGGAGCACTGCGCTCACGTCAGCTCTACAGGTTTACCTAAACCTAAAGAGCTTCACAGTCCTGAAAAGATTTGATGACACAGGTTTTACTGAAGAGTTTTCATGCTGAAAATGCTGTTTTTTTTTTTCTCTTCACTAAAAAAATAATATTAAAACTCTATCTTATCATTTCTGCGAGGCTTAAATGATCCCAGCAACAGCATGAAAGTAAAGTTGAGCAAATTAATCTATAAAATTTCAAACTAAAATGCTGAAGCAGCCGTTATGTAGTGAAAACTAGCGTGGTGCATTTCTCTATTTGAACCTGATGAATCAACTTTGTGAATCAATGAGGAATTGATCAGTGTGCTGCCGTAAAGACTCGTCGTCCTTCAAGACGTACAACACCACACACCGTCGGCGGCTTTTTCCTCCCATCATGCCTCTCTGCTCGTAGAATAACAAAGACTTTACCGCTCTTAGACTTTGAAATAAAGACACATGATGTTTGTTAATCATGTATATTATCTAGAGTTACTGCTTTAAAGGCTCAGCAGTAAAGTTTGAACTGAGGACAGAAATGTGTTCTGTATGTAGATTGTGACATCGGTGATTGGTGATTTTTGTAACACAGTTCTCGGTCGTCCTCATCAGCCATGATGAGGCAACAAAACAACAACGTGGATGCGTGATGATAATAATAATCAGGTCAGGTTGTAATAAACACCATGCAAAGTAGAAGGAGGAAGGTTGAATCCTTTTATAGTGCAGCTGTAAAGACAAAGACTTTGTCTGTACTTTTGTATTTGTCTGATTTCAAGAGCTGGTTTCCAGTCCTTGGAAAATTTAAAGGTCCATATTTTACACTTTTACAGTGTTTTATTTTTATTTTAAAGTGTTGATCTATAAGAAGATATATTTGTGGTTTTAAGAACCAAAAACCATCTCAGTGTAGTTTTACATCTCCTCTCTCAGGCCTCCACCTGGATGCTGGGTCCAGGTGGGCGGGGCTCGGGGCGTGGCTGAGAGCAATGACTGCTTTGTTGTGACATCACAAAGTTACAGGAAGTCCTGACGGCTCATTTTAAGGCTCAGTTTCTTAATATAAGCTGTGTGCATTGCTCTGGGGACTGAGGCTTTGATACTTCCACAGTATTAATATAGAACCGAGACCTGATCTATAATCACACTACACATGGACAGAGACATTTAGACTGTATGGGACCTTTAAAACACAGTTGAAAATGTAAACACAATAAAAAGCCGTGATTGACCTAATAAATATAAATATAAACAGCAGAAACAGAATTAAACAGTGGTCAGCAATGTAGTTATCTCGATATTGTTACAGTGAATAAATATGGAATATAAATACAATAAAGTGTTTTCACTGTCAAATGACTCACACTGAGCACCATTTGTTTTTGTTTTTTTCTTTTAAAGCTGTTTATTGTGTTTTTGTTTTTTTTACATTGGTGGGACAAATACTTTCATTGAGTGAACCAGATAATTAAATAACACAACGCCGGCGTTTTGCTGTCTATTTTTGGCCGGACCCCAAATCAAATCAAGTCTGGCTCAAATCCTCTGGCTCATTTAAACTTGTGTGTATAAGTATTGTATAAACTTGTTGTATATTACAATGTGCGGCACATAGCAAACCTGTAAAAGTCATAAACACAATCAGAAATTCTGATGTGGAAATTGCAACATTTGCACTTCAGCATTCATCACCTTTTTTTTAATCCTTTGAGTTTCTGTTGGGGAAAGGTGAGTCGAGGTTTCTCTGAACAAAAGACTCCTTAAGTTTGACCTCAGCAAACAGCAGTATTTCTTTCGGGCCCATGTAGATGAATCTGCTGCATCTTAATTAGGGAGTTCGGGACTCTGTTGCAGCATCGCAGTTTGTGATTTTAATCTGATAAGACAGTTGGAATTTGGCTTTAGAATAAAAAACTTTGCAGCTTTACATTCTTAAGAAGAGGAAAAGGTCTTGGGTGAATTCATTCAGGGTCTGAGAGTTACCCCGGATCAAGAAGTTAGAAATTAAAACTTCAGCAGTGAAATTAAAGTGGTAGAGGTCAGCGAGGACTAATGAGGACCTGATGTTTGCACAGCACAGTTGAATAGTAATTATTACTGCACTACACACACACACACACACACGCACGCACACGCATGAACACATATGATTCATCAAGGTCAGCCACTTATTCTCTCTCGCTTACACGCACGTTGTTGTTTCTCATTAACGCACGCACACACAAATATTGTTAGAGAGCTGCTTCATCGTTTATCATCATAATAATTGGAAATCAATCCTTTCCTTTAATCCACACTCTCGCTCTCTTCACACCCCTCCTCCAGGTTGTCATCAGCGTCCCCACCCTCCCCAGACTGAGGCCGTCCGACTCCCTCCAGTGTGTGTTCGACACCTACGTCACCGGAGCCGTGATGAACTTCGGCGATCCGGTGCAGGTCACCTGTTCGCTGCCAAACCCCGGGGAGATCCCGCCCACCCCCGACCAGCAGGGTAGGTGGACACGTGGAGGGTTAACAGGATATATGTCATATGTTAGCAGGCAGCTTTCCCACTTTCTTCACTGTTTTCCTTTGTGTAAAGAACTGATTTTGAAATTCTGCTTTTGACTAAATGATTTGAAGCCAAAATCCATGTCTGGTCTGCTGCAACGTTACGTCTGCTGTAACTGTGCTCCGGTTTCATCTGTTTCATTCAGTTTTTCTTCTAATAATATAAAAAAAACTTTTAAAATCCTGATTCATCTTGTTTTTTTTATTTCTTCTTCTTCATCTTCATGCATTTGTATGTCTTATGTAAATCACTTTGAACTGCCTGCCTTGTTATTGGAAGGTGCTGTACAAATATACTTGCCCTGGCGTCAGTGAAATAGGAGCAACCCAACTTTAATGGTTCCCTCAGAGATACATGAATAAAACAGACGATTTAACTGTATTTATTTAAAATGAAAAAAAATGGTTTATGAACAAACCTTAATGGCCATTAGCAGTGTTTTCTCTACATGTTAATATGTGAATTTTATTACCTTTGGACAGAGCTAGGCTAACTGTTCCCTCTGTTTCCATTCTTTATGCTAAGCTAAGATAACCAGCTACTAGCTGAAGCTTCATATTTACTTACTTTATTCTGTCTCTCACTTAATCCTTTGTGTGTGTGTGTGTGTGTGTGTGTGTGTGTGTGTGTGTTGTGTGTGTTGTGTGTGTGTGTGTGTGTGTGTGTGTGTGTGTGTGTGTGTGTGTGTGTGTGTGTGTGTGTGTGTGTGTGTGTGTTTGTGTGTGTCTTTAGACTATGTGTCTGTCCCAGTCAAGGTTATGGTTAACAACAAAATTGAGGTGACGTTTGGAGAGTATCACTTCTACAACTGTGCCGCCACAGTCAGGAAGAACCAAAACACACCGTAAGATACACAACACACACACACACACACACACTAGATATATACACACTTGTATGACACAAACACACATGGGTATTGTGTGTTTTCAGGTGTATAGCGTGTGTGACCAGTGAGTGGGGATGTCAGTGGAACGCTCAGGATCACAGCTGCAGCGACAGCAATGACGTCGTGGGTGGAGGTCACATCGTCAAACCACAACAGGTGTGTGTGTGTGTGTGTGTGTGTGTGTGTGTGTGTGTGTGTGTGTGTGTGTGTGTGTGTGTGTGTGTTTGCTGTTCACATGAAGCTAAATGAAATTAAAAGAAGATAATCTGATTATAATATTTCTGCCTCTGCCTCTCTCTCTGTGATGAAGCCTGACAGCTGTCCTCAGTTTGAGTCTCCGGAGCCGCTGTTGATCCCCGTCGGCTTCGAGATCCCAATCGGCTTCCAGGGAAGGAACCTGGACATCTACATGGTGAGAGGAGTCGGAGCTGTTCAATAACTGATCAATAATCATCTAAACATCATCATCAACAACTTCTCTCTCTCTCTCTCTCTCACTCTCTTTGTCCGCCTGCAGGGCCACACGTTTGCCATCGGGACGGAGCTGATGAAGTACACAGAGGAGGAGGTCATGCAGGAGCAGAGGTCAAAGTTCAAATTCACAGGTTACGAGGTCAGTATGAAGGAGAGGCTAATACTTTAATGTGATTCAGTTGGAAAAGTTTAACGGCAACATTTAGACCATTTATCTTAAATTAAATAAATGATATTATTTGAATAGATAAAGTTTGACGCTAAGAATCACTGAACAGTAATAAAAAAGAAAGAAGAAAAGCTCAAATAACCAGTGTACAGTATTAATCTAACTAAGCTACTGTTTATTTTAGGAGTCAGGTTTCTTTGTAGTTTGTATTTTTATCCTTTTAATTATAAAAATAAACTTTATTCAGTCCATAACCTTATTGCTTGTTGCATCATATGATTAACAAATACCTCCTTATGTAATTATTATTTTTACCAGTAGCATTAGTCTAGTTAGTGCTAAGCTACAGTATATGTGTAATATATGTATTAATATGGCAGATTTAGAGTTAACCAAGAAGAAGAAAACAAAAGTGTCTCCATCACATTTACAGCAGTGGTTCCCAACCTGTGAGGCGGGGCCCACCTGTGGGCTGCGAAGGTATTACAAGTGGGCCGACAATTAATTTGCAAAACAACAACAATTTGGGTGAAAAGGTGTAATTATAAAAAAAATAAAATACAACATAAATAATGTTTTTAAATGTTTTTTAAAAATGTTTCTCATATTAAGGCCAGACCACTTTGTATATTTGTTTGCTATCGACAAGTGAGCTCTCCCTCTGCATGAAACATTGAGCTTCCGCTGCTTTCAGTTCAGTCCTGAACGTTTGATTGTTATCATTAAAATAAAAAGCGCTTTGACACGACATTATTTGGCCTCCTTATTGTCACGGGGTCAGAATATTGGAGATTTTCAATGGGCCCTGGGTTGGAAAAAGTTGGGAACCACTGATTTACAAAGTTTTATGGAAAAACAATTTAACCATTAAGTTGAATAAATGACCAAGTGACAAAAGCAGCAACAGCAGCAGGTGTTAAAAAAAAGAGTAGCACAAAAGTGATGAAGTAACATCACAGCAGATATTAAAAGCCTTTTAAAGACATTACGTGAAGAGGACCAGACATGATTTAGCGAAAAATAAGTAACTGTAATCTAACATCAGAAGAAACAAAGTGCTGAACAGGAAGACATTAAAATAATGATTTCAGCTGAGTAGATGAAAACAGAACCATCTGTGATTTTCTGTGAGGTGACTCATTAGTTATTTCCCCACGTCTTCACCTCAGCACCGAAATTAAATCCATTTCCTGCACTTAATAATACACTCGCTGATTCTTTTATAGCGTCCATTAGCTGTCCACGGAACGCACACATTTACCCAGCGCTCTCTTGTTGTTTATGTTTTGAAGTTCGACAGTGAACGCTGCCAAGCGGTATAACACAATCAGAGAGTGTATCATTAATGATAATTAGGGAATTAGTGAATCATTAGTGGTTGATTTGTGAGTAAATTGTGACTCAGAAGCTCAGTTCTAGTTGTGTTTGTTTTATTTTATTTAGTGTGGTTGATGTTGAGGTCTTGTGTTGATATTTATGTTTAATCAGGTGAGTTTGATTAACGCTCGAGTTCAGATTTATTTTTTTTATTTTAGTCAGATTTATTCACTGTCAAACAGACGACCACGTGTCTGCTGGCGCCCCCTACTGGCTGACTAAGCAACATAATTATTTTCACTGAGTCACTGAAGTGCAGGTAGTGATTATTTGTGTGTGTGTGTGTGTGTGTGTGTGTGTGTGTGTGTGTGTGTGTGTGTGTGTGTGTCAGTGACTCTGTGCTGTCGTCTTTCCTAAACACCCCTCGGTTTTTCCTCCTTTCTGCCTCCATTGATCCTCACCTCATGCTGAGTCTAAGACTGCCAATATGCAGTTAAAGAGAGTGTGTGTGTGTGTGTGAGTGTGAGTGTGTGTGTGCACTGCTGATTCCAGTCTCATTATCTCCCGTATTTGTCTCTACATTCACATTTATTTTGTTCTTCTCTCTTTCACTCATTTTCTCCTCACACAGACACACGAACACACAAACAACCAAAGCTCCATTGATTTACAGCTACAGGAACATATGCGTGTGTGTGTGTGTTCCTGAATGTGTTTTTATGTGTGTGCTGACCTTCACAGTTAGGGTAGATGCAATGTAATTTAGTGTCGAGCTACAAATAGATAGGAATGTTTTGGTATGCTATGTTAATGTAAACCTGATGGTGTGTGTGTGTGTGTGTGTGTGTGTGTGTGTGTGTGTGTGTGCGTGCGCAGTTTGCATATGACAAGCAGCAGGAGGTGAACGTATCCTTCCACATCAAAGACAGAGACACTGAGAGGAAGATTGACAGCACCCTGACAGGTTGGTGTGTCACTCATTCAAATACACACACACTTAATCTCTCTCACACACACATATACACACACACACACAATTTCACACACATCACGATAAGGTGTGAAAGTGCAGTTAGCACAATGTTTGAGTTTCTCTCTCTCTCTCTTATTTCCAATTCAATTCCATCTGAATTATGTTAATTTTGCACTAACCTCTCTCCTCCTTCTTCCTCTTCCTCTTCCTCTTCCTCTTCCTCTTCCTCTTCCTCTCCTCCCTCCCTCCATCCAACAGTCGTGCTGTATAACTGTTCCGTGGGAAGAGAAGACTGCAGTCTGTGTAAACACGCCGACGCCAAGTACCAGTGTGTTTGGTGCGCCGCCTCGCGCACCTGTGTTTACCGGGAACTCTGCCCGTCGCCGCAGCCCGCACAGTGCCCCAACCCGGAGATCACTGATGTGAGTCACTGAAAAACACGAGGCCACACCCTCTTATAAATGGGCAACAAAACTCTTCCTGTGGCACCTTTTTGTTGTGTTGCTGTGCAGCAGAGATGCGTGAAATGTGTCTGGTAGTGTGACCTTTACACTCTATAGCCGTATACTCCAGTGACCTCACAGAGCTTAAACGTTGAAGCTCGCTGCTGTGATCTTGTTGTGTCGTTTAAAACAAAAAAACAAAAAAAAAACGGCGGAGTTGTAGAGAGATACGAGGGGAAGCTCTGTGAAAAGCACCTTTCATACATCCACTATATTGCATTGCATTTTCCCTCCTCAGTGTTACATAAGACCAGACAACCTTTTGACATAAATCACGACGGCTCGTCTGAAATTTATCTTCTGTAGTGAAAAAGCACAGCGGCAAACTTCATCTAGTGGTTTCAAAGGAATTACTGAAGAGGAACTGTCAGTCTGCTGACGGCACCTCCTGAAATGTGCTGCAGTCACAGGAAATAATACAAGGAAGCAATCACATGGATGACCGAGGACGAGAATGATTTTAAATGTATCTGGGAGTGGATCAGACTGTGCAAGATAACAAGAAACAGAAAAGACTACAATTACCTACTGTAGACGGTTCGTTTTGCCCTCCGTAGTAGCGAGGAGTCAGAACGCTTTGGTCCAGTGTCGGATATTTCCTCAACTGCTGACTGATGGTCATGTTCCCCAGAGGATAAATCTTAATGCTTTTCCTTTAGTGCCCCCATCTAGCCAAAATTCCCACTTTTTGGAAGAGTTATTTGATCGCATTTTCATGAAATCTGCAGTAGATATTCTTAGTCCTCAGAGGGAGAATCTTAATATCCTCTAAGCATCATCATCAGGTCAGACTTTCCCCTCATTAACTAAGATTTAGGGCTGTGAAAAACATCTTGATTAGCTACTAATGAATTTGACTGACATAAAACTCATTGTGGATATTCATGATCTCAAGAGGATGAACTGTAATGATTTTGGTGATCCCCTGACTTTTCATCTACTGCTACAACTAACACTTTGGTTCACCATGAGATACCTCTAAAACTACTCGTTAGATTTTCATAAAACTTGTCCCAGGTGTTCATGGTCCCCAGACGATAAATCATGATAATATCATGACCTCTTGATCTACTGTCTTGACCCACCATCATGTCAAAATTTCTAGTTTAACTAACATTTTGGCAGATTAAAAGGTCTTATTGATCAACATGAAACATACACTTTGGATATTCATGATCTTCAGAGGTTAAACTCTAGTAACTAACTAAGCCACTACTAGCTCAGAGCTTGACCAGACTTTAATTCACAATGGGCTACCTCAGAAACTACTGATCATATTTTCTGATCACAAATTGTGATCAGTCATTCGTGGTCCTCACAGGATGAATCACAATCACCATCAGGTCACAATTTCCCAACATTTTTTGGTCCATGTCTTAGTCTTTATTAACTACCAACTAACTGTTTTCAGTAACACAAAATTTACATTGGATATTCATTATCCCCAGAGGATACATTATAATGACCAAATTCCACTACCAGGCACAAATGTCTTGACTTTGACCAGCACTTGCTCCATGAGATATCTCAGATAAACGGGTACGATTTTAATAAAATTTGTTGCCAATATTCATGGTCGCCAGAGGATGAATCATGATAATTGCGGTGCCAGTGCCACTGTTAGGTGTAAATTTGTTGACCTTGACCAGACTTTAATCTGCAATAAGATACTACTGGTCAGATTTCCTTAAACTTTGTTCTGGATATTCTCAGTCCCCAGAGGATGGATCCTAATAATTGTTGGCACCTGAGCTTTTGTCTTGCTCTGCCATCAGATCACAATTTACCCTTAATTAACACTCTGTTGAATGACAGGGATTAACTGATATCCTGTATCAGATTAAATTCACTGTGGATATTCATGCTCTCAAGAGGATGGCCAGAGAAATATGTCTTATGAACTCACTCTAAAATGGTTATGCTCACGTTTACTGTATGTGTTCACCTTTGGCCGCTTTATGAAACAGTTCCCCAAGTATGACTTTTGCGTGTTTATGTGACATGGGGGATAATTAAAGGATAAATAGAACCCCTCCATCTGTTTGGATAATTGTGAAATCGGCTCCATTAGTTCTCTCTTGCAGATCGAGTCGTTTCTAACTTTCCACATTCATTTTAACACGTCGTCGTCTTCTTTAGATTGAATCCTACATTTTCCAAAATCCATACAGCTTTTCACAAACAGACAATTTCTCCGTCAATCGTCCCTTCTCTTCGGTTTAACATATCTGGACTCATTTTTTATTCACTCATATTGTATTCACAGTTGGTCCCCTTTGGCCTGCACGACTTCAATATGTTTCCTATTTTCTCTGGAACATCAGTCATTTGTTTCAAGCCCCGTCTCGATTTCCTTTGGGCAGCGGCTGATTAGGTCAAGAGTTGTTAGTTGTTACTCATCAACATTTGAGCTTGTTGTGGAGGGCTTTTAACTCACAAGGGGAAAAGAAACATTAAATAGATGGAACAACTGAAATTACTTTCACTCCTCATGTGGCCACATCAGACCGAAGCTAAATTGTGGCAGATAAGTTCAGCCTCGCTCCCTGAAAAATCCATCTTCTAGATGGTGCATACTGTACGGCTTGAACATCATTTGTCTCCATGGGATGTTTTAATGAATATTGTTCCACTGATGTCACAGGATGCAGAATGAAGACATTGTACTGTTATAACTTAGATAAACTTGCACTCAGACAGCCACATCTGATATCATAATAATAAATGCAGCCCTGATTTGATGCATTTTGGGTGTTCCAAATGATTTTGAACATGTACGTTTTTGGCAACACTTTATTTTAAAGGTTTAGTATTTTCCAGCTAATTCCATAGAAACATTTCCTGAAAAAAGAAAATAAAAATTTAGCTGCAAAATACAGATAATAAAAAGAAAATCCAACGCAATTTGATGCTAATTATAAGGGAAATGGAGCAAGTATTAGCTGCTACAGTCATTAAGTAGCCATTTGTTATATTCAATTTGTTTTAAAGAAAAAAATAAGTGTGAAAAATAAATCATAAACAGCAGTTTCCTAGAAAGACAAAGAGAAATATAATTATCGATTAGATTGAAAAATGTGTCACACTGAGTCATTTTATTTGACGGGTCCAGTAAGTAGAAATATGTTTGTAAGATGGTGAAATTTTATAACCTGGAGTTTATTTAATTTGATGATCATCATCAGTTTGAAATGCAAAACTAAGGATTTTCAACTGCTGCTGAAAATTACAGGAAAACGTGTGATATTCAGCATAAATGCAAATTAACTGAATATTTACCAACAGATCTGCTTGTAGGCAGCTCCCGAAGAATTACCTGATGGATATTTATGTCTGTTTATGAACTAAAAACGTATTATATAACAAGCAGGTACTTAAAATAACTGAGGCAGCTAACTGACTTAAGACTTTACTTTAATCTTCTGTATGAGGCTGAATGTCGTGCTCCTGTCTTCTCTCTCCTCCTGCAGATCATCCCTCGCTTCGGTCCTCTGAACGGTCGGATCTCCGTGACCATCAAAGGCTCCAACATGGGAATAAAGAAGGAAGACATCAAGAAGATCACGGTGGCCGGAGTGGACTGCGTTCACCAGCAGGACAGATACTCCGTCTCCACCAGGTAACCTACCGGCAGCTGCATTAACATGCGGAGAGGAGCACGGCTGCTGTCTGTGCACGTTAAGGTCTTATGCAGGTGAAGTTGCTTACATGAACCTCTGGCAGCCATTAATTAATTACTGCAGGAAACTGAATATTCCTGTGTAAGTGCAAAAACCCTGAAGTGAAATCTTCAGATTTGCATATGAAAGTTAGCAGATGACTGTACCTGCCTCGCTGTGTTAAGACGGGATCTCTTCTTGTACACGAACCTTTTAACATCAAACACCTTCAAGTTTCCATATTAAAATCAGAAGATTAATGATCACGGGGATGTGATGTTGATGAGGTTTTATGGAGGACTGGACGACGGTGCTCAGTACACGTTCTCCAGGCTTTATGTGGAGCCGTTTCCTTTATCTACACTGTGTTTTATGTGAGTTTATGTGGTGGGTTTTGGCAGATACTGTGTGTGTGTTTTATGGGACGGAAACTCACCTTCAAGGACGGTTTCAGCTGAAGTGAAGAAAAACACGGTTTTGATATTAGAAACGGAACATCTGGGCACTAGCTTTTCCAGAACTTTCAACCGTGTCTTACGGCCGTCCTCATTGGATGAAATTTGCTCAGGAAGACTGTGACAGGTGGTTAAAAGCTCCAGAAAACACGAGTCAATGGACCTTATAATAGCCCCTAAGATTGCTGCAAGTAGAGCAGCAACCATTAGTTAATTAACTGATTATAAAATGAACTAGTTTCCTGAGTAGCTCCTGGTTGCACAGATCGAGACATTTGAAGACGAAATTCGATTATTTGACAAAGCAATCATCACATTAATCGATCAATGAGAATAATCCTCAGTGAGTCGTTCTCTGTTGTTTGACGCCCCTCCCTCTCCTTGTGTGTTCACAGCGTGGTGTGCGAGATCGGCCCGGCGAGGCGAGTTCCTCCGTTCGACCTCCCGGTTGAACCGACCAACAGCGGAGCGGTGCAGATAGAGGTGGAGGGAGGGAGGAGCGGCACATCGCAGGTCATCTTCACCTACCGGGTACGTTTGAAGTCTGATTCTGGGGGGGTCGGCCTTTAATAACATAAAGCTGGTCACAATCTTTTCTTTTCTTCGCTAAACTCACTGAAACTCACCTTTAGATTTAAGCTTACCAACATAATAGTTGTGAACCACCTGTGACATTTGCTTCGTGGTACATATTTGATCAGCCTTGTATATTTTCTCTTGCTCAGACTCTGTACCAGCAGATTATTAACGGGAACGGGGCCAAGAAAACTTGATCAGGACATTTTCGTGACTGTATTTCCGTGTGTGGCCAGTAATTTAACTGCTGTCAAAATAAAGGTTACAACAAAGATGCTACAAAAGCATTTAAACCTACTTTTACTCACATTTTTCCACCTTGTTGAGCCTGCAAATCACAAAATCAGCAGGGATGCATGTCCACTCTTGTATTAAAGGCACAGGACAGAGTCTTTCTGTTTCACTACTGACATTATGCAGCAATGTTTTGTTTGTATTACGCACACGTCATGACGTCATGAAGTGTGAAGTGAACACAGGTTTAGCATTAAAATATACATCCTGTCTGCTTTACTAAACACAGATGTGTCCAGGTGTGCTGGTTCCTGGTTCACACACCAGTTTGATCACATTCTCTGGCTCTCTTTCATCAGGAATAGTGGTTTTGTTTCTTGATTTTTTTTTTTTAAAACATCCAGGTTCAGCTGCAGGAAGCTTTTAAAAGTTGTGAAACCTGCAGACGCTGAAAAAATACACACCTCATCAAAGGTTCTGTGGCAATACAGAACATTGTGTGACACAGCTACTTCAAACCCGGGAGATCAAATCCCACAAACATTAAAAGCTTTTATAACAAAGTGAAAGCAGCGCGGCCCTCTCTCTCTTCTCTCTCTAGTGCCGGCGAATCTTCCTCCCCGAAGAAGCAGCAATGCGTAAAAATATCCCTCGCATACAAATTCACCGCTGCACGAAACTGTTGAACTTCTCTTCCCACGTACCACGACTAGAGAGACAAATATGATCAACAGGCTCTGATGTTTTAGTGTTGTTCCTCACTTCACATATATTTTGTTTTTATTGAGCTGACAAAAGGCTAATTAAAGCAAACTGCTGCGACCAGAATGACTAATTTACCTCAGCCAGCAGTCCGTCTCTGTCGGTAAACTCTCACATTCACATCAGGAATTAAACTTTGAATTTGAGATGATTTGTTTGTCTCACCGTCAGATTTTCGCCTCTCAGACGAGAGGATTTGTTGCTTCTCCGTGTCGTGTGTGAGTATAAACGGAATATTTAGGGGTTCGGACTGTTGATCAGATAAAATAATGGATATAAAAATGAATTTTTTACTATTTTTCTGATGTTTTATGGCTCAATGAATCAGTTAATTGAGAGAATAATAAACAGGTTAATCAACAATGAAAACGTTAGTTGCAGCCCCAGAGAAAAGATAATATATCCATCCATCATCCATCCTTCCTTCCTTCCTTCCTTCTATCCATCCTTCCATCATCCATCCTTCCTTCCTTCCTTCCTTCTATCCATCCTTCCATCATCCATCCTTCCTTCCATCCATCCATCCATCATCCATCCTTCCTTCCATCCATCCTTCCTTTCTTCATTCCTTCCTTCCTTTCATTCATCCTTTCTTCCTTCCCTCTATCCATCCTTCCATCCATCCTTCCTTCCTTCCATCCATCTATCCATCCTTCCATCATCCATCCTTCCTTCCATCCATCCATCCATCATCCATCCTTCCTTCCATCCATCCTTCCTTTCTTCATTCCTTCCTTCCTTTCATTCATCCTTTCTTCCTTCCCTCTATCCATCCTTCCATCCATCCTTCCTTCCTTCCATCCATCCATCCATCCATCCTTCCTTCCTTCCTTCCTTCCTTTCATTCATCCTTCCTTCCTTCCTTCCATCCATCCTTCCTTTCTTCCTTCCTTCCATCCATCCATCCTTCCTTCCTTCCTTTCTTCCTTCCTTCCATCCATCCATCCATCCCTCTATCTTCCCATCCTTCCATCCATCCTTGCTTCCATCCTTCCATCCATTTTTCCTTCCTTCCTTCCTTCCTTTCATTCATCCTTTCTTCCTTCCTTCCATCCATCCTTCCTTTCTTCCTTCCTTCCTTCCTTCCTTCCATCCATCCTTCCTTCCATCCTTCCATCCATCCTTCCTTCCATCCTTCCATCCATTTTTCCTTCCTTCCTTCCATCCTTCCATCCATCTTTTCTTCCTTCCTTCCTTCCTTCCTTCCTTCCATCATCCAGATCTGAGTATTTCTCTACAACATTAAACATGTGTGACTGAATAAGCAGCAGGAAGTGAAAATAATGTAAAATAATGTTCAAACTTTTCACAATAAGAGGTTGATTGAAGAAAAACAAAAGGATTATCAGGATCTTTAAAGCTGAATGTTGACGTCAGTGTTGTAGCAAACGAACGTAACGAGCTAAGTATTAAAAGTTAGTCTCGCGGTGGTCGGACATTAATGAACTGTGGAAACCAAAACAATGAGCTGAAAGATGCTAAGCGCCACCTTATCACTTTACACACTGATATTAGACGATTGATTAGTGCAGCTGATGAAGGTTGACTTTCTGTCCTTCAGGTTTCCTGCGGTTGTTTATCTTCCACTGAGTCTCGGGGTCTGAGCTTCTGTTTCTCTGCCGGAGCCAAAAATATAGAACTGTCTGTTATTTCTCTGACTCACGGACCAAATGTATTTCAGTAAGTGTTACCTCCTGCGCCACTGTTTTTGTTTGCGTGTAACTTCCAGCCAGGCGGAGTTGTTATGAGTTTGTCTCTCTTTGGGGATATTTATTCTTGTGTTTGTGGCTCTCTCTGCCAGAACAGCGAGAACAAATCTGAAACGCCAACAAACCAAATGCTCCGCTACGTCTCAGCAGCTGCACACCACACACACTCGTGTTACTCTTGATTTAGAAAACATTGTTGTGCTTCTTCACTTTGGATTCATATTTACACCTTTTTTTTATTTTATTTTATTTATTTATTTTCTCCTCACACAAATAACTTTCACCAACTGTGCTCGACTGCTGTGTCTTAATTCGGAAGACAGATTGACTTCTTAAATTTCGAAGCTGCTTTATCCCCCGGTGTAGCCGAGAATTAATATCCCCTCTTGTTTTGTTTGTCGTGCTGTCAGTGCAGTACAAAACCTACCAGTACAAACAGGAAACCAACCAGCTGGTGTGTTTCAGCAGCTGCCGTCTCCTTTATCAATATTCTTCAAACACACAAGTTGATAAAACTCCCCCACGGTGAAAGCTCTTACAGTGACACCGACTTTTTCTCTGCCGTGTTGTTTTGGAGCTGCAGCGCCACGGAGCAGAGTTATTTAGCTTTAGAAATTAAAAAAATATATATTTTGGATTTGATGTGATCAAAGCGTTTTCATACCTGCAGGACAGCAGCTGGAATATAATGAACTCCACTCGCTTAAAGTTTAATGTTCTCATTTAAATTTTCTCTTTGTTTGTGTTTGTCTGTTTCCAACGTTCAGTTTGACTGATCTCAGGTTTTTGTGGGGTTTTTTTTTTTTGTTTTATTTTGTTCTTGAAATGTCTCCTGAGCAACATCACAAGCTGTAATGGACAAAATAGAAACTAATTAGAAGCTGTAATTAAAAGTCCATGTTTTGCACATTTACTATGTTTTATTCTGAAGTGTTGATCCATAAAAAGATTTATTTGTGGTTTTAAGAGCCAAAAACCATCTCCTCTCTCAGGCTCTGGTAACAGCAGGTCGGGGAGCCAATCAGAAGAGAGGAGGCTCTGAGCTTCTCTTCTGATTGGCTGATTGTTTTCCGAGTGATCCAATAAAAATACAGCAGATTTCAGGTAAACAACTCCACAGATCCTGTAAGCTTGGAGGGAGCGAATCCATGTGGGCGGGGCTGAGAGCGGTGACTGCTTTGTTGTGACATCACAAAGTTACAGGAAGTCCTGACGGCTGGTTTTAAGGCTCAGTTTCTGAATACAGGCGTGCACAGGTGTGCATTTCTCTGTGGACTGAGGCTTTGATACTTTCACAGTATTAATATTGAACCTAGACCTGCTTTATAATCTAACTACACATGGACAGAGACCTTTAGACTGGATGGGACCTTTAAGTGAAGATTAATGGAGTGGATGTGGAGGCGCCACCTGAAGCTCTGAGCTCAGGGTAAAACACCTTTTATCAAAGGTGGTGCCAACATGGACCTGGGTGTTAAAACTGTTTTAACCAACTATTTAACCGAATCTGCAGTAGAAAGAGTGAAATTAATGTGCATTTACTTTTAGTACTGTTGGTTGGTTTGTGGAGATAAACAGCTGTTGGCAGAAGCCGAGGTTTCCTCATCTCTCCACTCAGATCTGCGGATGTCGTCTCTTCAGCGGACGTTTGAGTCTCATGCTTGGTGTACGACATGATTTATTCCTCGACTGTTTCTGTTGCGCTTCGTCACATCTCGTTTTTATCGATACACAAACCTCTCCACCTCAGACCAGCGTAAAAAGCTGTTTGTGATATTGTGATGATTTTTCTCTGCGTTTCTCGTTCTGCTCTTTTATGCACAAAATTGAAAATGATTCACATCAATTTCATACTCATCAAACCGTCACAGACCTCTCATGCACTTTGGACGGGGGCCACTGTCATCCTGTCTTTACGTCCTGCTCAAACTCCAGAGTCGACTCTAATTTACTGTGTAGCAGGTTTTTTGTCTCCTCTCCCTCACAGAAAGTGTCTGTGCGCTTGAATCAAAGGGTTTGAATGAAATAAAACATAATAAAGGCAGAGAAAATGAGGAAAAACACGGAGAAGGAAAGCACAGTGAAAAGTCAATGTACCCCTGCCTCCTCCATTTTATTTATACAAACTGCTTGTTAAACTTCGGAGGAAATGAAAACAAGGCCGCTGTCAAACAGCTGATTTATTATGTTTCCTTCTCCAGGATCCCAAACCAGACTCCGTCCACCCGGTGAGGGGTCCAGCCGTTGGAGGAACCGTGATCACCATCCGTGGAGAAGACCTGGACACGGCGACCAAAGACGACGTCGCCGTCACTGTGGGCGGAGTCCCCTGTGAAGTGTAAGCAAAGCCTGTTCACAGCGCCTCCTACCGCATTTCACCTTATGTCTTCTCAAGAGACACTAACTGTCTGTGTTGGCGGTCTTCCTCCCTCCTCTTCAGACTGTCGTTCGGGTCACAGATCACCTGTAAGACCGGCAAGTACCGGGGGCAGAAGGTGCCCTCGGACTGGTTAACGCTGACGGTGAAATACGGAAGAAACACCACCAAAGACGTCACAGGAGCGTACCAGTACTCTGAGAACCCCAAGATCACAGACTACTACCCCAAAGCCAGCTTCATGTGGTGAGTGTGATTTTAAGTAGGTGGAGATACTGGTGTAAATATCCAGGTCTGCGTCGGGAGCGTGATGTCATCACAGCGTCCTCAGGCTCAGGTGTTTGTAGGTCTGGTAAAGATTTGATGTTTGGTGTGTAGGAGAAAGGGAACCTTTATAATAGTGGCGTTCTCTTTCACAACGGGGCCGAGGGACGACGGCCCCAGATGGTCGTAATGGAAAAAGCTCAGGAGATCAGCTGATCTCTGCTCGGCAACAGAGGGAGGGCGGGAAACCAGGCGGACATTTGCAAAGCTAACAATTTGATCTTCATCCTTGAAGTTCTGTGTCAGTAAAGCATAAATGTCGATTGCCCAAGTCACACTGCTTTTTTCTCAGGTGCAATATATTTATATATTATTTATTATTGTGGGATATAATAAATACTCGACTTATATCTGTAAGTTTTCTGTATGAGTCAGGTGATCTACTACTGACCCTGATGCCCCGATCTCAATATATGAGACTTAAGTTCACATTGTCATCGGTTCCCAGTAAATTGACACAGCAACTGATTATGACTGATTATCAGCTGATCACAGATATATTGATATAATCATATAAATCAGTTTTAAGTAACAAGTAACTTCAGTGCAGGAAGAAAACATTTTTTAAAAAAACAAACGTGGAAGAAAAGTAAAATCTCCCAAATAAATGTACTGTATTTAAATTAATTTCCGTGTGTGTGTGTGTGTGTGTGTGTGTGTGTGTGTGTGTGTGTGTGTGTGTGTGTGTGTGTGTGTGTGTGTGTGTAGCGGCGGTCGAAAGATTGTTGTGGTGGGAAATGGTTTTGACCTGATCCAGAGAGCCACGATGAAAGTCCTGCCCTCTGCTGACGAGTTCTCACAGGCCACTGCTCCGGTAGAGGTGAGTGTGTTTGTTTGTGTGTGTGTGTGTGTGTGTGTGTGTGCGTGCGCGCTGCTGCGGCAGCAGATTGATGGAGTTTGCTGGTTCTTTATTTTAAAGTGGTACTTCATTTCCTCTCTGTTTCTCAGCTTCAGTTTTCTGCACAAAGTTTGTTTTTCCTCTTTCTCCACTTTTTATTTATCGTTCCTACAAATCTATTTTTCTCTCTCACTTCTCAGCTCAAGTTTTTCCTCTTTCCACTTTCTTTTTCTCCACCTTTTGTCTTGTCCTCTCATATTTTTCATAGACTGTTGGTTTGTCTTTAACACTAAAACTGGTGCATTTAATGCGTTAGAAAACATCAAGGCGGCAGAATAAGACGGTGAATGCTGTTCACTGTGTTTTTTTAACATATGAAAACAAATCAAATTAATTGGTTACAGCTCAGATAGTTGTAAAGAAATGTGTAAATAAAAACACTGATAAGTTGTAGCCTCCATTCAAAGCTCTGCATGAGGAAAACAACCATCATCTTAAAAGAAAATCAAACGTATCGTCAGAAATGTTTCTTAAAATGTTTCGTAGTGTGACACCTTCACTGTGGAGTGATCTCAGAGCTCACAAAATCTGATTATTTCATTTAATTACATTATTAATAATTTAGATAAAAATAATTACTATAAAACATGAAAAGTTTACCCTTGAATGGTTGTAAATTCATGAAATGAACAATTAACTTTGAAAAATGTGAAGTTTTCAACATTTTCCTTGTTTTTTGTTTTTTGCTTAAATTTTGGACAAAAAATCTTTGTATCCGAGCGACTGGTCTCTTCAGAATCAGTTGTTCAGATCAATAAGCCGACAGTAATTGAAGCCACATAATATCAGAGGTGGACGCACTCTGACAGGACCGAGGCAAATTTTTAATAAAAGCACAATATCGACTGGATGCACGTTGGTCTGCAGCCGCAACTCGACAGAGTCTCGAAGGAAGGATTCACTGCAGGGGAGAGGAGGGGAGTCTGAAGTAAAAGGTAAAAGTTACACCTGCATTTCAAATCTGACGTCCAATCCAGAGTGATTCACTACAGACACTTTTAACCATCAGAGGAAAATGCTAATAGATTATATTTAAACATGCAGTTAGTGTTTGTTTGTTTGTTTGTTTGTTTGTTTGTTTGTTTGTTTGTTTGTTGATTTGGCCACATGGGCGCAGCAGAGAGATGTGAAGATCGTCACCTTTCAAGTTGATGTGGTGAACTTGTACGAGGCTGTGACAGTGAACCGGAGCAACAGAGTGTTAGGGCCACGTTGAGGGAAAGAAAATCTGAAATTTACGAGAATAAAATCTTATAATTCGATCCTATAACGGTTCCTTTAGTTTGCATTTGAAGAAAAACCAAGTGAAGTAAAGTCAAACACCGTGACGCAGAAGGTTACACTGACTCCTCTTCTCGTCTCTCTCAGTTTGTCCAGGACACTCTGAGTAAGAACGACACCGTCCTGCAGTTCTACTCTCCGTCGGTGAACGCCTCCCTCGACACCCAGTCCCTCAGGACGTACCTGTTCCTGGACAACGGGATGGAGGAGCTGAAGAACTTCGACTACCACCCCAACCCCAGCTTCAACGAGCTCGCCAAGAACGTCATCACCGAGACCAGCATCATCATCGTGACGGTGAGAGGCGGGCGCTTTAAATACACACTTCACGCTCGCTCTTCGTCTGTCAATCTGTGGAGTTCACTCTCTCTCTCTTTGTCCGCTGCTCTCCTCAGGGTCGAGGTTTCTCCAAGGCGATGACGGCCAAAGAGGCTCAGGCGTTCGTTGGCGATGCCTCCTGTCACGTTAACATCCTGCAGGTAAACACACGCACCTTTATTAAAAGTACCACTTAACAATAAAACCACCCTTCATAAAGGATTTAAAAATCATAAACAACTATAAACTAGTTGTAACATGCTCACTATTTGGCAAGAAGATCTTACTAATTAATTAATGAGTTACTACCATTTATAATATAATGATGATGCGTTCACTTTACAATAAGACTCCTTAAGTTATAATTGGTAGTAACTCATTAGTCAGATTAATGAGCAGTAAGCATTATCTTGATCTTGCCAAATAGTGAGCCGGCATCAATGTATGAAAATTGTGTTATAACTTGTTCATAATTGTTTATTAATGATTTAATAAAAGTGTTAACAACTGAATTAATAACCTAATAATAAACATCCTTTATAAGGGAAGTCTTATTCTAAAGTGGTGCCATGATAACTCGTATTATTTATTTCATTTTATTAGTTTTTATAAGTTATTAAGCAGTAAAACATCCTTCTGTATAAGACCTGACGACCCTTTTGTTCTAAGTGTAAAAACACATGAGACTGCCGTTTCTCTGTAGTTTATTTTTAGGTGAGAAATTCAATGATGATGATTAATACTTCGACTGAAGAGATGAAAGTGATGCAGCACCACATGCTATTTAAATAAAAACTCAAGTCAGTGCATCAGGGTGTTTTTTAACCCGAGCATCAGGGAAGGTGATGAAGCGTATTATTATCAAAGCAGGAGCGAGGATGAAAAACATAACGCTGAGTTTTCTAACCTGATTTAATTAAGGTTGGGAAACAGTGTTTTATATCACAGTTGGTGGATGGTCAATTAATAATAATAATGATAAAAGTTATTGAAGCACTTATCAGAATCAGAGTTTACAAAGAGCTTCACCGGGATAAAATGACAAAACAAACAACAAACACATGAAATAAAACAATAAAAATAGAAATACAAGTAAGCAACGTAAAAAATATGTGAAATATTTAAAAGTTTTTCAAAGTTCATCGGGCAGGTTGACCGCAAAAGCTCCGCCCCCTTTAGTCTCACATCTTTACCACCAACAACTTCCTGTCAGATCTCAGGCGACGTGCAGCTGGATAGTCTGACGCCAGGAAGTGTTTTAAAAGTCGAATTTTTAAAATCGATTCATGAACAGAGTGGTAGCCAGTGTAAAGACCTGAAGAGGGAGGTAATATGATGATAATAATAATATGATGTAATATATAAATATGACATGATGATGGTGATATGATCTCTTTTCTTTTCATACCAACATGTGTTTAATTCATGTTTTCATTCGCTCTTCCTGTCGACTCTGTACAGGACGATAAGCTGATCCTGGAGGCTCCTTCGTCGCAGCCCAGAGCCAGGTCCAAACGCCAGCGCAGAGACACAGCCAACGACCTGCTGGATCTAGTGGTAAAAACACACAACCAAAAAATTTCAATTTTCTCAGCCCCCATTCGGACGGGATTAACATCACAGAGCGAGATGAGGGAACGAGTATTCGCCGTGACGACGGCAGACAGCGCTTTAACCGTCGGGACATGACAGGATATGAGACTGTAACAGACACGGACATTCAGCAGGAAAAAGACAAAAGAGAGAGACAAGCGGCTCCCGGGGGGGGGGGGGCGGCTGAAAGACTATGAAACATGCTGGTGTCATTCAGTGTGACTTACACTTCCCACTTCCTGTAGCTGACAGCCCATTCACCGGGGTCTTCCTCTGCTGATGGCGTCCATGTTCTCCCGTTGTTGGCCTTTATCTTTGTGTCAGTGTGTTAAAGTCACATTTCACACTGAGCTGTAAAAGTAGAAACTCAGAGCTCCTCTTCAAAAAATACAAGAACACGTCGCTCTGGACGAGATTTTAATTCCAGGAGTTAAAAGAAAAAAGTTTTCCCACGTACAGGCGCTGAACACACGCCAGGATTTTTCATTTCACAGGTTTTCAGATGTATTTGTTTCGACCACCTTGAAGAGGAGTAAACAGTCTGACGTGTGTCTCCGTGCAGGTGAAGTTCGGTCACGGCGAGTGGATCGTGGGTTCAGTCTACTACGCCAGAAAAGACGACATTCCTCTGGCCATAATCATCCCTGCCGTTATCGTACCGATGCTGCTCTTCATCGCCGTGTCCGTCTACTGCTACAGGTTCGACTAGACTATCAGCAACATGTGGACACACAGAGACGTGTTTGTTTTTCTGTGTGTTGATATGTTGAAATATCTCCCTCTGTGTGTGTGTGTGTGTGTGTGTGCGCGCGCATTTTAACAGGAGGAAGAGTCAACAGGCAGAACGAGAATACGAGAAGGTCAAACACCAACTGGAGAACCTGGAGGAAAGCGTCCGAGATCGCTGCAAGAAAGAGTTCACAGGTACGGCCACCTGACAGCTGTGAGGTCACATGACTGAAGGGATATTAAAGGATGCCTCCAATTTAAATCCAACAAAATCCAATTCCAATAAAGTCTAATTATTTTCTATGAGAGTGAACAGGCAGCTGATTCAGTCCTGATCCATAATCCATAATCCATAATCCATAATCCCTGTGGTTGTTCTGTGTCCGTCAGATCTGATGATTGAGATGGAGGACCACACCAGCGACCTGAGCGAGGCCCGGATCCCCTTCCTCGACTACAAAACCTACACGGACCGAAACTTCTTCCTGCCCTCCAAGGAGGGAGGCGCCAACGACACCATGATCACTCAAAAAATACAAATCCCAGAAGCCCGCAGGGCCATCGTGGCTCAGGCGCTCAACCAGTTCTCCAACCTGCTGAACAGTAAAACCTTTCTCATCAACGTGAGTCTGAAGCTGTCAGTCTTTCTTTCTTTTTCTTGTTGTTTCTATCTTTCTTCTTTTTCCTCTCTTCTCAGGTGTCTTTCTTCTTTTTCCTCTCTTACTAATCAGTTCTGTATCGATCTGTAAATGTTGAAACCCCCCACCCTCTCCTCTCGGCCTGTAGTTCATCCACACGTTGGAGAGTCGTCCGGACTTCAACGCCCGCGCTCGTGGTTACTTTGCGTCGCTGCTGACGGTGGCGCTGCACGGCAAGCTGGAGTATTACACGGACATCATGAGGACGCTGCTGCTGGAGCTGATGGACGAACACGTGCAGAGCAAGAACCCCAAGCTCATGCTGAGGAGGTGAGGGGGGGGAGGGGGGTAATACACCCGCAAATACACACAGGACGACTGTGAAAGAGAATAAAGATTAATGATGATAATAATAATAGAATCATAATTAATACAGGAGAGTTTGTGAGGGAATCATATTTTTTTTTTAAGAATTAGTGTAATCGACAATCAAAAATATTGAGTTTGCAGTTACAGAAAACAGAAGAAAAGAAAATCCTCACGCTGGAGCTCGAGCAAGAAAATATCTTGGCATTTTGACTTTATATATAAATATATATATATATATATAATATTAAAATAGTCGCAGATTAGATCGTTTCAAAGATGTTAAATGTAAATCACTGACAGTAATTTTCAAATGCAGAAAGTTCTATTTATTTGATCTTTTTCTTTTTCTTGATGATGTTGTGAATGTGATGGAAATTTCTTTTCCACAGAACCGTGTCTGAATATGTTCATGTCAATAAAGTCAGTTCAGTTGAATAAGTCAAACCTTTAAGTCCAGAAAAGTCTGGAAAATATTTATTTAGCTTTTATTTACAATGAAATTTTTCCATGATGGGAAAGTGGCTTCTTGTGGCTGCTGCACGGTCGTAATGTTTTTATCTTTTTTCTTCTCTGTGTGTGTGTGTGTGTGTGTGTGTGTGTGTGTGTGTGTGTGTGTGTGTGTGTGTGTGTGTGTGCAGGTCAGAGACAGTGGTGGAGAGGATGCTCTGTAATTGGATGTCCATCTGTCTCTATCAGTTCCTCAGGGTAACACAGATTTCTCACTTATTTTATGTTGTTTTCTCTTTTCTTTTGATTTCTTTTGATTTCCTTTTCTCTCTAATCTGTTTCTCTTGCCTGTCTTTCTTCTTCTTCTTCTTCTTCTTCTTCTTCTTCTTCCCTTTCCGCTTCTTTTCCTGCTCCTTCACTTATAATTGACTCTCAGAAAATGAAACCTGTTCAGTGTACCTGCCGTTTCTCTTCTTTTCTTTTGTGTTTTGTCTGGGTCGATTTCAGGCGTTTTGATACAGACGACGACAGCAGCAGATGTGTTGAACTGATGTTCCTGTACTTTCTCATAACAAACGCTGTCTTCACACCACAGACATTTTCTTCTTCTTCTTCTTCTTCCTGTGATTGTCGATTGAAGCTAGTCCCCCAACCCAAGCAACATTCAGACTGCAGGACACTGAAACTTACTTTGTTATTGATATGCAGAAGATATTTTTACTTCATGTCACCATTACACTTATTTTATTGTATTTATTAAATTTCAACCCTTTAAATAGACAGAAATCGTCCCTAACTTCTGTTCTTTGTATTTAACCTACAAGTGAAAAGTGTTTGTGAAAAGTGTGCGTCTCAGTCACCAGGTGTTAAATAAAAGGCTGATATCAGGTTCTGTCAAACCAACATGTGCTGTGTTTGTATCTCGGTATCAGGACACAGCAGGAGAGCCGCTATACAAACTGTTCAAGGCCCTCAAGCACCAGGTGGAGAAGGGCCCGGTGGACGCCAAGATGAAGAAAGCCAAATACACCCTGAACGATACAGGACTGCTGGGGGACGACGTCGAGTACTCCGTGCTGGTTGGTCCACACACACACACACACACACACACACAGACACACACACACACACACACACACACACAAACTGTTGTTTTCAGTGTTCCTCAGTTTAGCATGTCTGGACTTTGAAGCCCAGAGCCTGTGTTTTTTAGATCAAAAATGCTTATTTCCTCCTTTGGGATTTATTCTGTGTTTTAAAATCCCTTTTTTATGCATAAAAAAAAACTGGTAAGTTTTCAGAGTTTCCTCCAGACTTTATTGTTGTCGGAACAGAAAAGCCTCTGAAATCAGAATTTAGATGTTGGGCCAGAGAACAGCTCATGCTGCGTTCACACAGTGTTGGAGAACAACAGGAAAAACTTTTTTTTCCCTGAGTGTACACATTATTCCCAGCTGGCTTCGCCCCCCGACGCTAACCCTGCAGTCCCACCAGGTAAACCGCTTAAATGAGCTTCTTCTGTTGTGTTACATCTGTAGCAGTTCAAGTGAAACCAGATTAAAACTGGAAGTGCAGTCAGAGAGTGTGGACCTCCGGCAAAGCCAACGTCAAACAGCGAACACCAGACTTCATAGAAAAAAAGTTTAAAATTCACAGTAAATGATCCGGATCTGCGCCAAAATGTCGGCTCAGTGCTTGTTGTGTGAAAAGCCCGTGACAAACAAACAAACCAACCTCTTATATAACGAGCTGAATCTGTTGTGTTGGTGTTAATATTGGATTTTATTTAGATTTAACTGTCAGATGTGATGCATTTGCAGCCGTTCAGAGAATCATCAAGAGAAATGCCTGATATCTCCCGCTCTGAATTCAAGGGGTAGTTCGGGTTATTTGACGTGGGGCTGTGTGAGGTAGTCACGCAGTAGATTCAGATCAGCGCGCTGCCGGTCAGGACAGACGACAGGAAACACCAGCAGACTAGCAGAGCGATGTGTTGCTGTGCACGGGGCCGGCCGGAAACAACCTTTAAAAACACCCACTGAAACAATCAAATACACATTTAACTGTCGCTTCATGTAGAATAAAAACAGCACTTTCCTTTGGTACTACATTTTTCATCCTATGCACAAGCCTACAGTATTACGCCGCAGCCACAGGTCAGCTGGGTGAATCAGAAAGCGGCGTAATACAGTGCGTAGGAATACGGTAGTTCAGCGGTTGAAATAAAATGAAGTACCAAAAGGAAAAGTGCTGTTTTCATGGGAAGATAAACCGCTGAAAATATTCTACATGAAGCGTAAATGGATCATCGGAGGCTGAGGTGAACGGTTTTCCCCAATCAGCTGCTCATAATTACAATTAAAGCCAATCTGCAAGAAGACGCCGTTCTTTCCATCTGAGCCGTATTATGACACTGTATTACTTATTATGTAGAAGGCTGCAGCTGGTTGATACCACAGCTTGAACTGTGCTAGTTAGTTAACGTATGTGTGTCACTAACTGAGACAGAGTGCAGCCTAGATTACGACTTTAGCTGTGACACATTAAACCGTAATGGATGCAACACTGAACTACACACAGGGGCTGAGTGCGCTGTGTTGGAGTCACATCCGTCACATCCGATAGAAGCGGCGCCGGCTCAAATCCTCCGAGATCTTTCCAGACTAATGTCAACAGGAGCAGTAAAGAGTCGTCGCACACAGCTTCTGTGGACGTATCCGCAGCATCCACAGCTGGAGTCTGAGCGGTAACCGCATCCACATCCACAGTGAGGCAGCTGTGATCAGTGTGTACTGTCGGGGGGGTTCAGGCTTTCTGAAGGAGCAATGAGCATTAAAATGCATCATGTGAAGTGTCACATCATCTCTCCTCTCCTGCAGTGTCAGCAGAGCTTTTCCCCCACTAAAGTGGCACTGTGTTATAACTGGACTAGATCAACACACTCACTGTTGCTGTGGATGCTGGAAAGGCAAAAGTAGTTCAGAAACTAAATTCCCACTGTGATGCTTGAGGGGTTACAGCTCCTCAAATGTGAGGATTTGCAGCTTTTCTCTGTTTTATCTGGTTGTAAATTGAAAATCTTTGTGTTTTGGACTCAACAGGACGTGAAGACGTCACCTCAGACTTTTCTTTTAGCTGTTTATAATCTGCTTTCACTCCACGGTTTGCAGGCTGCACTCTTCACATCTGTCTGGTCAGGGTTAGTGTTTGGCTGACAAGGTGTTTGTGATGTCAGACCCTGCAGGTGTTGGTGCACGGGGAGGGACCAGATGTGACTCCAGTCAAGGTGCTGAACTGTGACACCATCTCCCAGGTGCGTTTGTTTATGTCATCGCAGAGTTTCTTCACTTCACTTCACCTCGACATCAGGAGCATCAAGGTTTTTTTGTGAGCTTTTAAAGCCTGAACTTCCTGTTCTGCAGGTGAAGGAGAAGATCATCGATCAGGTCTACAGGAATCTGCCGTACTCACAGAGACCGAAGGTGGAGAGTGTCGCTCTGGGTGAGACACCAAAACATATTGTTATTGACAATTATGAGATTCATATTTATTACAAATATATAAATTATCCTGCTGTCACAAACCAAGAGTGTGTCGCCCCCTGCAGGTCTGTGGGGGAACTGCAGGGTTACAGTGAGACGTGGAGGCAATAAAATAAAAATACTAAAACAATGAAAGTAGTTATATTTATGGACTGAACACAAAGATCAGATACAGACTGTGAAAGTGTAAAACAGAGATTCAACTCGTCCTAAATGTCTCCTCGTCTTTTCTTTTTTCAGGAAAAGTAGAATTTATGTAAATAAAAAGAAGAATTTATCTAAATGTATCTCACACTAGATGAAAATGTGTTTTCTGCTGAGAGGCGACAGACTGACTGTGACATTTTTCATGATGCAGATTAAAATGAAAAAACGAGCGACGACGAAAAGAAACGTTTTCTGATAAATGATGGAAGTTGTTTTACACGTCCTTTATTAATCAGTGCGGTTACCACGGATACAATCTTTAAAATAAATGGTGAATCAGAAGACAAATAAAATGATATGAGTTGAATCTGTTATTTGTCCTGTTGTAGAATCAGATCAGCGTCTGTTGAATACTTTATAAGTGTTTGTTGAGCATGTTTTCTCTCTCTCTCTCTCTCTCTCTCTCTCTCTCTCTCGGTCGACCTCTTGTATTATAAAAACAACAAAAACACACACACACACACACATTAAAGTTTGTTTCCTGGTGCGTCCTCAGAGTGGCGTCCTGGCTCCACCGGTCAGATCCTGTCCGACCTCGACCTGACCTCCCAGAAAGAGGGGCGCTGGAAGAGACTCAACACTCTGGCTCATTACAACGTGAGTTCAGCCTGATGCACTTTTGTCTGTGGGATTTGAAAATGTTTTGACTCAAATTCACCTCACGCAGCATCTTTGCCTCCCCTTCAACTCTCCGCCTCCCTCTCTCCCTCTCTCCCTCTCTCCCCTCCCTCTGGGGAGGCTTTTGTCTTTTTGTGTCTCTCTGCCTTTGTCCTGCTTAATGTCCAAAGATCCCTTCATCTCCCAGTGGGTGAAACGCCGTCTGCAACCATGAGTTAAATTAAGAGGAGCACAGTGAACATTTCACACACACACACACACCCTCTCTCTCTCTCTGTAACGTTAATCCTGTCTGAATGGGGCTTAATTAACTTCTCTTTTTTTTCAGATTTCCTCTCTAATTGTTGAGTGAAACTCTCCTCACCTCAGTGGAGCGGTTTCTCTGGCCAGATGTTGAATATTAAAACAGAAATGAAGACGTATTTACCAGCTGTGATCAGGGAGGAATCTCGATGAGACAGATTCCAGCTCCATGTTTTCAGTCAAATCTGATTTTATTTTACAAAATAAGTTCCTCTACTTAAGCTTCATATGAAGATTTGAACCTTTGTACCTCAGCACTTTAATTTAAAAGTGTTAAAAGAAAAGTTTCTTGTTTTTCCAACACAGGGATTAAATATGAAATTGCTTTATTGAAATAATTTGAAAGTGAACTGCTGAGAAAAATAGACATTGAAGTTAATCACACAAGATTAATAATAATATTAATATTATTCTGTGATTAGGACTCTGTGACATTATTTTCTGTATTTCATGTAGATCTGAAATGTTAAGTTCATTCATCAATTATCAAACTATTCTCCTATAGGCAAACGTAATATATGCATATATACTGAATTTCCATTTATGAAATATATGTTCATATAAAATAAAAACTTAATTAGAAATTAGAACAGTTCCATACATTGACATATGTGTCTAGCCCATATCAAAGTTTGTATGATTATATTGTTACATGAATATATATCCATCCCAAAGCCTGTCAATATATGTTGACATTATAAACAGTGACATGTTTAATGAGAAATTAAAAACATATATAAATACATACAGTTTGTATGTATGTGTATGTCAGTTAACTGATAATCAGTTCATCAGAAATTGATCTGGTTCCAGTTTGAGGAATCGCTGCTTTCCTTAGTCAGATGTGATTTTAACATGTTTGGACATTTTTAAGGACAAAAACAATTGACAGATCAGCGTCTGATCAATGTCTGATCTGTGGTGAAGTGAGTCAGGAGCGACGCAGGTTCCTGCTGCACTCTGATGTTTTTTAATCATCTTTGCTTCCGCGAGTCGAGCTCAGACTTTTGAAACCAGCAGAAACTGAAGTGCAGAGAAATGTCGAGTCACACGAGACTCCTCGTCACGTTGAGCGGAAACCAACAGGAGCTAAAACAAACTCCCACAGCTTCCCCTCTGACATTTAAAGAAAATCATTTATGGAGGAAGCTGCTGTGAGACGGACGGACGCAGCTTTAATAACAGTGAGCTCAGTCGCAGAGAATCAGGTTCATTCTTCTTCTTCTTCTCCTCTCCGGGTTGTTGTGTTGCAGGTTCGGGATAACGCCACGTTGGTTCTGTCCAGAGTTCTGCACACACAGTCCTTCCACCAGCACCAAGACAGCCACGAAGAGAGTACGCACACACACACACACACACACACACACACACACACACACACACACACATCCTGACGCAGACTTGATGGCATAGGTGTAAAATAACTCTGAGGTTTTTATATTTACTTGGCCGCAGTTTGTTGTTACTTCTGAAATTACATTTTCAAATTCTCTGAAAAACTATAATAAAATAAATTTGTGTGTTTTGACGGATGAAAAATTGATCTTTGGTCTAATTTGAAAAGTTTTAACTGTGATTGAAAATGTTTTCACCTGACGGGAGAATTCAACTCTCTGCTTCACACTGAGAAGTTTTATTAAGAAAATAGACAAATAAATCTTCCACAGGTGAATATTTATTGTTTTGTTTTTTTTTTTTTGTTATGCCTCCGCGCCGGCAAACTAGGACTCAAGGATGAACTGATTAGATTTTTGTGGTCAAGGGTCAAAGGTCAAGGTCACGGTATCGTATAAAATGAAGGAGCCGGCGGTGTTACATGTTCTGTCTCTGCCATCGTGTACAGAAAACGCTCTGCTGGAGGACGACAACACCTTCCACCTGGTGAGACCGGCGGATGAGATCGATGAGGTGAAGTCAAAGAGAGGCAGCATGAAGGACAAGGCCATGACCAAAGCCATCACTGAGATCTACCTGACCAGGCTGCTCTCCGTCAAGGTAACCGACCAACATAACCACCATGTTTATACAGGTTTTCAATTTTATTCTGTTTCACCATTTTCATATTTACACTTTTTACTCCAGTACAAACAACCCAGTTATTAGTAGATAGAACAAACGCGGTTTTTCTTAATGTGCAGCATTTGTCAGCAATTATTTCGTCTCCTATGAAGATTTATTTTATATAATTACGGCTTTATTTTAATATTTTTATTCATTTCCTGTTGGTACAGCAGAGCAGCATTAATACACACTTGTATCTGCTTTGCAGCCACGTTGTACCGTGTTATAAACCATTAATGAGATGTTTATATTCTGCTGTTAAATGCTCAATACAGCAAAGTTGTTACAGACAAGTTACTGTTGTGAAAACACAGCGAACTCGTCTGCACGTTTTCTGGGTAAATAATATAATATGTGTCAGTTTCTATAGTCAGTGTTTTCCTAGAGAGACGCTGTCATAAAGTATCAGGTCTCTGTTTCTGAAATCTTTTAATCAGCGCTGGTGTTTTAAATAATTATGGCATAATTTACATGCTTTTTTTTTTTTTTTTTTTAATAAGACTACTCTTAATTTGGAAAACATGATAACGAATTTCACATTAAAGTGTTATTTGCTAGATTAATATGAATATATAAACGCAGGATACAGCATTCAGATGTAGTTGTTGACTTTTTTTATCATATATAGACAGTTGTTTTAATTTGAAAAACTTTCATTTTAATCAGTGTATAATTGCATATGTAAATTACAGGGAACTCTGCAGCAGTTTGTGGACGACTTCTTCCGCAGTGTGTTGTGCTCGAGCTCCGTCGTCCCTCCTGCCGTCAAATACTTCTTCGACTTCCTGGACGAGCAGGCGCTGAGGCACGACAACGTGGAAGAGGAGACGCTGCACATCTGGAAGACCAACAGGTTACAGAACACACACACACACACACACACACACACATTCATGTTGCTGTCAGATCTCACAGTTTGTAGTAGGAAGTATCTACAGTACAGATGAGAAAATTATCCTTTCACAACATCTGGCCAGTTGTCAGCTGGTGTGCAGGAAATAACGAGCAGCTTCAGTTCAGCTCAGCGCTTCACTGCATCAGCTCTGACAGTAACTGAAGACAGGCAGCATGAGATGGTGTCAGGCTGGTGTTAGAGGATAAATATAAGTGTCTGTGGATCTGTTCCTGTCTAAATGCTGAGGAGCAGATCTGTATCATGGCTCCTGAAGCTCCACTAAGGCAGGTGCAGATATTCAGCAGCTCAACAAAGACACTAATCTAAACAAATATGAGCAAAAATGAAAACATAAAGACGTAGAGCCAAAGTTTTCTTCAGATCTCTCTGAAGAAATGAAGTTTGTTCCTGAGGGTTAGTTTCCATGTTCTTTGAAATATTAAACAGAGATTCCAAATTATTGATCATTCATCAGTTTGTGATGGAGAATGATTAGTTACAGTTGTTTTTTTTTTTTTTCATTTTATCCAAATTTTTTGACTGTTTTCATCAGAAAATATAAAAAATTTGCCTTTTACACTTTTTCAATTATTTGTTTTGTCCCAAAGCAAAAAATATTCAGTTTTCATTTATATAAAAAAAATAGATCCTCACATGTGATAAATCAGAATTTTTGCTTGAAAAATGACTTTAGTGTTGCCGTTTCTTTTGCTGTACAACATAAATAATATCGTTTATGCGGAGAAGACTGGAATATAGACACAGAGAGTCTGTGAGTTGAGTGAAACGTGTGATCAGAGTCCAGGTGAAGAACCAGGTGTAAGTGGGAGACTTAAAAACTCTGTTTGACGTCATTCGAACAGCGCCGTGTGGATCCTACTGTCAGTGAACGCCTCCCACCGGCTGATGTGTGACTCTTTAACTGATCCGACGTCTGCCAGTGTCTCTTCAAAGCTTCTCTGAATCTCTGCAGGAGATACGACCTGCAAAGAGAAATAATTACACTGCTTCTCGAGCTGTGTGTGCGCGCGTGTGAGTTACACCTCATCGACTAAACTAGAGTGTAATTATGTCCTCGTTTCTGCTAAACCAGACAGCCGACCACATGAAAGCCTGATTTAATTGGCAGGCTGTTATCGGGATGGATAAATGATGACAGGGCAGAGACGGACAAGGAGGAGAAGAAGAAGAAGAAGAGAGGAAAGACAGACAGAGAGACAAAGAGATTGCTTTTTCTTTAACGTCTCTGCTTTCAAACTGGCCTTGAGCTCGGCCTGTCAGTCATCAGGAAGACACTCGCACGCAAACAAGTTGGACAATGAAATATTCATCGTCTGTGCTGAATTATTGACGAGGGTTACGGTCTGTGGAGGTAGAGGGAAGGAAGAGACGGCAGGGAGAGATGAAAGGATGGAGGGAAGAGGGAAGGGAAACAGCGTGTCAGCAGGTCCTTAAAAAGTCTGAAACTGACCAGAATACTTCACTGTTTTGAGTGTTGTACTTCTTTTAAGAATAAAACTTACAGCTTCCACACGGTGATGAAATACTACACAGTGGGTGTGGAGCAAGACAATAAACCAAATTAACTTTGACAAATCTTAGCCAACTTTTCGCTTTCAATTACTGAGTCTTCCTGTTTCCTCAGCTTGCCTCTGCGGTTCTGGGTGAACATCCTGAGGAACCCCCACTTCATCTTCGACGTCCACGTGACGGAGGTGGTGGACGCGTCGCTGCACGTCATCTCTCAGACCTTCATGGACGCCTGCACCAAGACGGAGCACAAGCTCAGCAGAGTCAGTTCACACACACTGTTTATTGTCTTTGACTCACACTGGGAGAAGTGGAGTTATCAGTGATTTTAATCCCATGTGGATCCCCTGTTTTCTTTTTCTTTTCTTTTTTATTAACTTAAAAGTAGCCGTATTAGCTATTAGCAGCTCCTGTCCGTGCTGAACCCATGGATGTACACTCAGCGATCAGCGCTTTACTGTGATACTGATACATTTATTTGCAATGGATATAAGACATTTGACAGAAAAAGACAGTGTTGAACATTTTGTTCATCATGACGAACTTTTCTTTTTTTTTTTAATGTATATTTTAATTCTTTGATATAAATGGGATTTCCATATCTCACTCATTTTTTTAAAGTATTTTTGATGTATTTTATGCCTTTATTTGACAGTCAACCGTGGAGAGTAGACAGGAAATGACAGGAAGCAGAGATGGGTAATGACATGCGACAAAGGTTCATGCCTGGATGCTCACTAGAGATGTTGCGGTTCCCGGTCAGCGCTCCGGATACATCTTTTAATTTTCGTCACTATCTTGCTAATCCGTTGTGGCATTTAGGCTCACACCGCTCCAGCAACTGGCTGCAGAAGAGTTAATTACAACACTTAATCAAAAAATGAACCAAGGACCGTTTGAACATCACAGACTGATTATAATTAACAGCGCAGGAGCAACGGAGAGAGGATTTTCTCTGGAAAACATCTTCACTCCACACAGAACAAAGTTGTGGAAATTAAAATGATTCTGAGAAATGACCAAAGGTCTTTTTATCTGTGTGTTTCTCTCTCTCTCTCTCTCTCTCTCTCTCTCTGACTGCAGGAGTCTCCCAGCAACAAGCTGCTCTATGCAAAAGAGATTTCAACATACAAGAAGATGGTGGACGAGTGAGTTTATTACACCAAATGACAATTGACGATTTCCACAAAAACAGAACATATCGCAGCATGTTATGAAGTTTTTGATACAAATTTTTGAGCATTTGATGTAATTAGATACTGTAAATGACTGATCAGATTGTTTGTGTGTTTTCCCAGTTACTATAAGGGCATCAGACAGATGGTTCCAGTCAGTGACCAGGACATGAATACACACCTTGCTGAGGTGTCCAGGGTATGAAACACCTTCCCTCTCTGTGTGTGTGTGTGTGTGTGTGTGTGTGTGTGTGTGTGTGTGTGTGTGTGTGCGCGCGCATGTGCGTGTGTGTTAGATAGATAGATAGATAGATAGATAGATAGATAGATAGATAGATAGATAGATAGTTATGAAATCCCATTAAAATCTGCTCCATCTTTGACCAGCTACAACAACAAAATGGATCTTAGTCATGTAATAATAAAATAATAATACTATATAATAGGAAATGTTCTCAGCAGTGTATAAAATTACATTTTTTGCTCAGCGGCCGAGAGCTGGCGAGTTTAAATAATCTACTCATATAGAGAACAATTTTATCAGCCACTCTATCTTTAAATGACTTTAATATTGGAGTGTGTGCACAGTCAAGCACTGTATGAAAATATGTAATTATGGAATCAGCAAAACTTGTCTGGTGAATGTACTCCAAAGACTAGAGAAGATGACTGTGTACACTAGACTCCAGTGAAGTGTCAGATACAGCTTTATGTACATACTATACTCTATGTATATGTAACAGATGTAGCAGGAAGCTTGTGGGTATTTTTGTATTGTATCCGTATTACACACGTAACTGACTTGACATTTAAATGGCAACATAGTGTTTTATTATGGAACCTTTGCTTCCACTCTGTAGCAACACACAGACAAGCTGAACACCCAGGTGGCCTTACATCAACTGTACCAGTATGCCAGCAAGTACTACGATGTGGTGAGAAAAGTTCAACTTTCAAAACTTTATTGTGCACAGATACATTTCTGTTTCGGAAGTTAAATTCTTCTGTTTTTATTGTGAGAAAAAATAAATGAATGACTTAAGTTTGCATTATCGTCTTTTTCAGATCATCCAGTCACTGGACGAGGATCCAGCAGCTCAGAATAAACAGCTCACCCTCCGCCTCCAACAGATCGCTGCCGCCCTGGAGAACAAGGTCACTGACCTTTGACCTCTGACCTCATGGAGGGGTCAAGGAGAGGAGCTAACGGCTACTAAAACACAGGATGTTGTTTTCCATTTAAAGACTCAAAAGAGGACGAGCTTGCGGACTCTACCGAATGTTTGACCATATAAGGACTGAAGTGGGAGGGGCTAGTGGAGCCACAGGAAGCTGTTGACCATATAAGTACTGAATGGGAGGAGGTATGGGACTCCAGGGGGGGAGAGGATTGGAGATTTTGGACAAATGAAGTGTTAAAATGTGGTCAGAGTGGTGGAAAGTAAAGAGCTATCTGCTGCAGTTGTATGGCGGACTTCCACTTGGCATCCCAAAACAAACACCAAGGAGGGATGCAAAATGGCAACCGTAATATGGCTGCAGATGGGAGCTCTGTGAAATCAAAGGGTTATTTTTATAATGGTAGCTAGGGGTGCTCGGTTGGTGTAATCCTCGGACCTAGCTGGACGATGTTTCTGTGTTTGGCTTCTCTACACCACAAATTTTGATTTTACCATATAGGGACTAAAGAAAGAAAGTGCCACACAAGGAATGAAGATTGAAGATTTTTGGATAACTGAAGAATATGAGTGAAGTAAAAAAAAAAAACATCACCAAGTATTTTCTTTTTGCCACTTAACCCTTTTGGAAGTTGGGATTGGAAGCGCACAGTACTGGAGGCGTTGTGACCACTTTTACCGTCTTACTTACTTACTGCTGATCTGAGGTCAGTTTGTCTTGTCTCCACTCTAAATGGTAACTAGGAAATCTGATCACTTGTCAGCAGCAGAGAACAGTTTTCATCCTAAAGCGTGAAAATGCTTGGATGAACTTTTACCTGGAAGCGAGCTTAAGTAAAAATAATCAACCAATGAAAACCCACTACGGTACATACCACTGGCCAATCAATGGTCTTGACGGCACAACTGAGGAGAGTGTATTCAGGGTACGATGAGTTAATTTAAACCCAAAAATCAAACCACAACATAGGCTTTTCTTGTATCATGGCCAAATCATATCAGATTAGCTGCAGTATGTGCTTCTACGCTGATGACACTGTGCTGTTGATTCGAATCGCAGCTGAATAATTTTATGTTGTTTAGTTTGTTTAGTATTATTCTTTGTGTGCAGGCTTTAAGCAGAGGCTTTGCATTTCCATATACAACATGAAATTTATCTTTTTAACGGACTGTTACAGTTCCACTTAGTTCTTGCTTTCATTAAGTGTTAATCTGAGTGGTCCACGATGTCATATGCTGTGCGTAAGTATGTGGTGAGGACCAGCTTGTTTTTACTTTCTGTGAAAAATCATGACTGCCCAATCATGTGGTCTAAACAGCCAAACACTTTAAGTGAGACTTATTTTTGTTTTTATACTATGTATGATTTGAATTCTTTTGTAATACTCCCTTCATAGATATTGCTGCATTTTTTTTTCTGTTTGCACACATTAGAAGAAATTACTTAAGTGTCTTCTGAAGACAGGGTATACGTGGATCCTTCAAAAATGCTTACAATTAATCGGAAATTAAGGTGGTAAAGTGTTAAAATGTATTCAATCCAGTTATTATAGGTCATATTCCTCCATCATGCATTGCCAAAAAAAATATGCATTCAGTCAGTTTTACCAGACAGACTGATTTCACGAGAGTAAAGCAGGCACAATACATACATTTAAAACACACAGCCAAAAATATGAATGTCTCCAAAAAATGAATGGCCCTTATCCATGGAAGATTTAAAATGCGTAAAACCATATCAAACAAAAAAATAAAGTAAAATACAATATTTTAATTTGGCATAGAAATTCATGTTGCAATGAAAAACAATTCATTCAGCTATTTAAGACAAATAATTTTTCGTTTAACAATTTCTTAAAATTATGACCGTAATTACATACATAAAAAGGAAATACATAATATTATGTTTATTGTATTTCACTTTATTTCTTTATTTTATTTGTTTTTATTTTTGTATTTTAAGTCTTCCATATTATTGTACAAAAATGCCTGTGTGCACATAATTGTTTCCTATCACCTGCAACAACTCCATGGATATGCATGTGCCTCCTGATTATTGCCTTCTCCTTATTCTGTCCATTAAATGTTTCATTAATGTTCATGAGGTTTGTTTAATCGGAAATAGGCTGGTTTTGTTTTTAGCTCTCGGGAATGAAATATGTTAATGTCAACTGTTACAGAGAGATATGGGAGAAAAAACTTAATTTTAAATACATAAACAATATGATCATGTATATTATCAACCACTCTGTAAATGAGTGAACTGTGGACCAAGTTATTAGAAGATCTGCAACAGTCTTTGGGTTTAAGTACCATTACACAGCTGAAGTGTAAATGAACTCATTTATCTTCTCTGAAGCCACATATTAGTCATCGTCACCATAGAATCATTATCTGCATCATTCTTTGCCTTCTGAGCCCAGATGACGTGCTTTATGTAGTGCTTGAGTTAATATCAAAGAATAAATATGCAGTTTGTAAGTTGAATGATAAACCCCATGTCTTTTGGGGAAGAAGGATTTCTCTCACTGCAGAAGTGCTTTGTGTTTTGTTTTGGGGTTTTTCAGTGGAAGCTGGTATTATTGATTCCTCCGAGCTTTCAGATCTTAAAAACTGCATGTTTAAATTCTGAAGCAATACGACCTTAAGGCTGGTGCTGTATCTTTGTACTCATGTCTCGAATTCCTTAAACTGTGGATGGACACACCGCAAGCTTTTGACCAGATTTGGCACCACATGACCTCCAGATACAAAGACTGAAATAAACACATCTTAGCCTGTTTTCTTTTTTACTTCTCATAAGCTTTCTTCTGAGCATTTTTTTCTCAGAAATTTGCTTATGAAAGCCACTTCCGTGCCAAATAACTTCAAGTAACTATTGTGTGTGTTGTAGTGTGTGTAATTTCCAAAGCTTGGACTGTCAATTGAGTTGTGTGTTTGATGAGTGTAGCCAGAAATGAGGGGAACAAACAATTGTGTATTAAATAATCTGGTGGTACTTTTATAAAAACTGTGGAAATGTGAAACTTTTTGGAGGTTGTTTTCAATGTCGGTTCAGATGTTCAGATGTCAGAAGACCTTGCGCAAAGTTTCACCAGCTTTTCAAAGCAAACTGCCACATTTGTTTTAATGTTTAGATCTTTAAATCCTTTTGAAAAAAAATGTTTCACATTGTGTTGCTGACCTGAAAGCGCAATCTTTACTCACTCTACAAATATAGTGTATTAAATGTAAAATATAAGACATCAGATGTATGTTGAAAACAATATTTTACGCAGCTTATATCTTAAAAACATCTCTATCTCTAATTCTCCCCCAACACTTGCTTCTTTCTGCCTTCTTTTTGCCACCAGCGAGTGCCTTAAAGAGTAGAACTGAAAGTAGATCTGGAAGGAAAAGCCAAAAAAGACGTCTAGAAGCACATATAGGAAGTTTACTGCTTGTTTGTTGTTATGAACTGGAAGACCACAATGGAAAACAGGAGCTGTATGTAAGTATTTTAGAGATGGCAAAGTTGGTAGTGTCAAATGTTTTTAAAGCTTGTACAAATACAAATTTACCCCATCACTATGATCAACCATGTTGTTCTGGAATGTAATTCCCAAAACTGTGCGTGCATGGCTAACAAAAGTAAAGTGCAGAGTTTTCTGAAGACAGGGCAGGAGCTAGTTGCACCAGCTGTTGGTAAGTTAAAACTTAGCCTTGTTCTAACGTAAAGTGTTTACTAAGGACTTTCTCGTCACAAAATTTTGCCAAACTGATAAAACTGTTCAATAACGATGCAAATAATGATTTTGAACATACCTGAAATTATAAAATGTTATGCAAGTAACAAATAACCATTAGGTTAGCGTAATCAGATATTTCTTGCTTGTTCTAAACTATGAATACTACTAGCTCTTTAAAACTAGCTTGTAGTTACTTGGGAGGACTTCTTGTTCAAATTTAGTAATGGATTTATGAAAAGCTGGTGCAGCCCAGTCCATGGTCCGCTCGCCTAGCTAACCTCTGTCATGCTAGCTTCTATAACTCAGTGAGTTTAATCATAAAGGTCTTTTTCTGTTTCAGGAAACCTGAAATGTGTTTATAAAACATGTTTTCTGTCCATGCGCTACCTTCATACTGAGTAGTAACATTCTAGTGCCTGTTGAATTTAAGAAACATCTAGTAATTACTTGTTAGCGTTCAGTACAAGTTCACATCAACATACAGTATGAGTTAGAAAACAGATTTTTCTGAAAGGTCTGACAAATCCAACTTGGAGCTCAAAACTGCTTAAAAAAAGCAAAAACGTACATACTTTATTTAAAATCAAATTTTCTGCTGAGGTCTAGATGAGAATATCAATACCAATGTGGTTAGCCTAGCTTAGCATAAACACTTGAAGCAGTGGGAAACAGCAAGCTTGGCTCTGCCCAAAGTTATACACTACAACCATGAAAAAATTCTAAAGGTTTTATTTTGTTTAGCTTAGCTTAGCTTAGCTAAGTCAGTCAATACTTTGTTCAAAAACTATTAGTTTATAGCAAACAATTAGCTTGCTATGTAGTATAAATTTCTTTGAGGAAATGAAGCTAATGTTTGTGTCTTTCTTTCTATTTTGTGTTGTTAGTGTTTTTTAATTATGACACCTGGAATCTCCAATAAGAACACAGACAGCTGCGATCATGTTGTGCAATGATGTCAACACTCACAAGTCATAAAAATTGGAAGCTAGCTTAATCTTTCATCAATTCTCTTATTATCTCTCTTATTACCCACACTTACGCTATAGTAGATACCCATTTATCTGGATAGAAAATATTCTTTTTTAGACAACTGATGAAAGAAATCCTTTTTTAGAAAACCATTTGAGAAGCTAGTAAACAGAGGCTACTTAGAAGACTGGGACAGGACCAAGATCGCATATTTTTTGGCTCTGTAGAAATGGCTTTGCAGGAATTCATGTTACAATGTATTCTGTTATTTCACGCAGATTAACTCGCACTTTAATTTTTTTTTTCTTATTAAACTAATGCTTTTGCCCTTTGTCACAACATTTTTAAAACTCTCGTGTTCTCATGCTTTTGGGGGAATGTCACAATTTCACAGAAAAATTAATCAACATTGTAGGTAATTCTTACAAACCATTGTCCTAGTATACTTGATCGTGAATCATAAATGGTGGAAAATTTGTTTCGCATAAAAACCTGTGAAAAGTGTTGTTTTAACTAATGCACATACCCCAAAACATTTGAGTAAATATGATAAATATATGATCTTTTATTGATAGGTTTTCAGAGGCACAGAGGTACAGGAAAATGTTCATGTGTAATGACTGGATGATGGATCAGCACAAGGTTCTGATCCTTCACTGTATGTAGATTTATTCATCTGCTAACCTGACAATGTGTGTTTTTATGATGTAAAACTTAAGCGTATTTTAAAAAATATTGTTTTATGAGGCACAAGTAAACAACAGTTTTGAGAGGTTTTGAATGTTACGCAGAAAATTGCCCATTGGCACTGATGTTTTTACCATACCAACATCATATGTGTTTGTACCATTGTAACAGTTTGTACATCAAATACAACTTTCTCATTGTTTATTCTTGTAACGTCATCGTAGGAAACATGGTTTGGATGGACTGGACCAAGTGTAGACTTTTGAAATGGACAGAAACAGCACTACCAGTAACCAGAAACCAACTTGTCTGAACTGGACAGGAGCCCAAATCAGTGACTCTTCTGAGGAAGTGGAGAAGTGGGCAGAAATCCAGATCTAAGTTGTCCAAATATCCAATAAAAGATGTTTATACAAATGGAAAGTCATCTTCTATTGTTTTGCTGTCTTTCATTTTTCCTTTCCTGTCACAATGTCTTGCAGTCATTAAGCACAGTGTTGAATAAGCCCATTAAGACGTTTCTGACATTATATAATTTTAGATCCGGGTTACCCTCTGTCCCACTAGCTTCTGTAACTTCTGTAACTAAGGCAATCTCTTATTCAGCATTCATTTAATTGAACTTTAAGAAAAAATTAAGTGTGTTCTTGGTTATACTTTCCATATTGGAACCTTCACTACCTTTTGATATTTAAATATTTGTGATTTTAACTTTGAAAATTACAACTCTCATGAAAACTTACATAATCACCACTTTGTAAGTTTTATGGATACAGACAAAACAAACACTAACCCGTCTTCTAAAGTGATTTTTGGCTGGGCCACAACAGTGGGGCCAGCCCTATAATTGCGAATGTCCCTGACTGACCGACTGACCGGCTGGCTGACTGACTGACTGACTAACTGATGATACTTCTGGTCAGCAGAGTGGAGCACTTCAAAAACACTGTTCCTCTCCTCCATTACAGCAAATAAACTACTTTCATTACATGTATCATTATTACTAAAGGAGGCAGAGGAATCACTAAACTTAAGACACAATGAGCAGAGAGAGCAGGAGAGAGGGAGGGAGAAAGAGAAGTCATCGGTAACGAGGCTTCATACTCCAAATATCAAACAGAGGGAGTTAGACATGAAGACCTGTTTTTAATAGAAACCTGTTATTCTCTGGAGAATAGATCTGTCCTGTGGCCTTTTTGCTGCGTATCATCATCTTACTCTGTCTCTCTCTCACTATGGCTGTAATTAAGGCCTGAAAAATTACTTAAAAAAGAAAGTAAGTGTGTCACTTCTAACTTCTAACTTCTAACACTCTCTCTGAGTGTTTATAAGTAGTACACCTGAAATCACAGCTCAGTCATAGTTTTTCATTTATGTGTTTGGAGATTTTATTAGATGACGTCATAGTTGTTCCATGAGGATTTGACCGTAGATCCAGACATATACTAGATTTTGATATAATCTTACGTATACTACACTATGACATTTTCGTGACATACTACAATACGTCATTTTAATTACTTACTATACTACGATTTTTTTTTATGACTTACTAAACTAACATTTTTATGACATGCTGTACTATCACATTTAGTGACTGACTATACTGACATTTTTAAGACATTTTATGCCTTACTATATTATGAGGTTTTTATGATTTTTTTTTTTTGCCTTGCTTTACTATGATATTTTTATGTGTTATATACGATGATGTTTTTATGACTTTTATACTTTTTAGGCCTTACTAAACTATGACATTTTGATGACTTTTTTTTTTCATTACTTTACTATGACATTTTAATGAAATTATTTTTGCATTACTATTATACTATGATGTTTTTTATTACTTACTCTACTATGACATTCTTATAACGTTTATATGCCGTATTATACTATGACATTTTTATGTCGTTTTTTTGTGCCTTACTATACTATGACGTTTTATGCCTTATTATACTATGATGTTTTTATTACTTTTTTTTTGCCTTACTATACTATGACATTTTATGCCTTACTATACTATGACATTTTTTCAATGTTTTTTGGCTTACTATACTATGTCTTTTTTTTGGCCTTTTATGCCTTACTATACTATGACATTTTATGCCTTACTACACTATGACATTTTTATGACGTTTTTTTTTCTTTACTTACTTTAGTATGACGTTTTTAAGCCTTACTATACTATGACATTTTATGCCTTACTACATACTATGACGTTTTTGTTACTTTTTTTTTTCCTTACTATACTATGACTTTTTATGACTTTTTACGCATTAGTATAAAATAATGTTCTTATAACGTTTTTTTTTTTGCCTTACTATACTATGATGTTTTTATGCCTTAGTATACAATGTCATTCTTATAAAATTTTCTATACCTTATTATACTATGTCATTTTTATGACTTTTTTTTGGCCTTACTATACTGCGACCTTTCTATGACGTTTTATGCCTTACTATACTATATCGTTTTTTGGCGTTTTATGCTTTACTATACTAAGACGTTTTTTCAAATATTTTTGCCTTACTATTCTATGTCGTTTTATGCCTTATTATACAATGGCATTTTATGACAGTTTTTTTTTTTTGCCATACTCTACTACCACGTTTTTTTGATTTTTTTTTGCCTTATCATACTAT